ATTGAACCCAATTATTACCATTTTTTATTTATAAGCTCTAAATCGATTAAACATCAAAATTGTTGATTTTCGAAAATTAACTCAATCTTAACTCATAAACTAAAACCGATGGGGAAATATTTTTTATACATAAAACCTTAGTAATGGACCATAAAGACTAGATCCATAAAAAGATTGAACTCAATTATTACCATTTTTTATTTATCAGGTCTAAATCAGTGGTGGCCATAACGTCGATCGCTAAGAAAATCATGAATCTGAAATATCTATATCTGGGCCTCAGAGCAAAAAAAACGGAAGGTTACTTTAAATCCTTCAGCCGATCTTGGCAAGACATTTATATAAAAAGTCTATCTTCATTAAAAATTGGTGGACACCACTGCTCTATCTCCTTTTGTTTTTAAGTTATAGCCAAAAAGTCAAATTTTCGTGATTTCAAAAAATGCTCATATTTCGTTTATTTAGAGAAATATTATTATTATTTTATTATTATTATAGAGAAATGGGGTTGATACGTTCTTAAGACACTTTTTTAAGTAGAATATACTGCCGTTGAGAAATTTTAAACATACTTGATGATTTTACATACAATCTATACTTGATTATGATGTTACTAAGAAGAGCATATTTTTAGCTTTCCAATGATGTATCGCATGTATGGCTATTTGCGGAAAATAAGTGTTAATATTCAATTCCAAAGTATAGAGTAGTTGCTATATGGTTTTGTACCATTATTCAGGTATTATCATTTGTTTAGTGAAAATAATTTTGCTTTTAAGTTTATCAGATTGATTTTGTGCGTTGCTATAAAATAAACAATTTATAGGTTAGGTGTTGACCGGGTTAATAGGAAAATGCATGGTTAACATTGCTTGTGACGTCACAAAACGTGACGTAACGTGTTTTTTTGGGTCATTTCACATTGTCTATATTACTTTGAATCTTTATTTCGTGATTCTTGTATCTCTTCGGACAATTACCCGATAGGTAAAACCGATTTTTTAATTAGATCTGCCCTATGACGTAATATTTTATGTAGACTTTGTGGCATATAATACCAAGGATACAAATTAACATAGATCTTTACAGGATTTATACAATCAGATTAGAATACTACACTATTTACTTCGAAATCAAAGGAAATAGTAATTAAAATGGTACTTATTCGTTTTATAAAATTTTCATTCTTTCCTGAGATTTCAGAAGCTAATTTAGGACTTGGCTGTATTGCTGTTATTGGTTGTCCCAAAACCTGGCTTGGACATACCAGAAGACCCATGTTACGACGAAATTTTTCTTGTATTTCTTTCTTCCTTGTTTCTACTTATCTCTTATCTTCTTTCCTGGCTTGCCATTTACATATCTTTAATCAGTAAACGATATGTAAAATGCCCTCAAACGCTTTTATCCACGCATGGAGGCTTGAAATTTCATATTCCAACTTATCTTGTTTTATCACTCTTTCTAATACGACATCTATGTCATTCATTTGCAATTTCAAGCAACCACAAAGATGACAGTTTTCACCGGGCGTATTAGTACAAAGCGAGCGCTTTTTCAGCTGTAATTTTTGGTGGTAGTTGTTGTGAAGGGGACAAACACATTTTTTTAATCTTTGTGACCCTCTTAGGAAATAAACTAGACACTTGTTTAATTATATAAGCTACATCTCTTTTTCCCGTTCAGCTAAGACTTACTCTTGATGCGTAAGTCAGTTCATCTTGCGTAAACGGCTGCAGGAGGGGACGAACTTTTCTTCGTTTGACTGAATCACTACAACTACCAAAAGATTTTCTGGTCTTCCAGACCGTGATAGAATTTTTTTGGGTGGAAGTCCCTTAAAAACGATTTTCTCGCCGAGCCATTTCTCAGTCTTTGAGATAAATATCTTTTTAATACGATAATATTGTTTCATTTTAACATTAATTGACTGCAAAAGTTTTTAATCGTTTTCTTAATTAAATGTTTAAAATCCTCCTCATGTTCCAAAAAGTCGCTTTTTTGCGTCAATCTGGCCATTTTGAAAATCTCTAAGAATAGTGTATCCTGAAAAAGTTCTAACAAACCAGTTACGTGAGACACCCCCATATTAAATAATTTTAATAAATTTTCGTTGTAGACCAAAAGATCCTAATTTAATAAAATACCTACTAAGTAAAGAAGATATTGAAATGAAGGAAAAACTTGACAAGAAACCAAATTTTGCGCACCAAGAACCAGCAAAATGTGCCCAAGTAATATCTGCTTTACAAAAAGCTTTCCAAACGTCGCTTTTGAATCTTTGTCCTATGTCTCGAAACGTTATGATTACCGTTGAAATTCAAGATAAAATGAATGAGCCGTGTTTAACTACGAAAAATGTTACGAGAATTGAAGCTGCCGCTTTGGTTATATTGTGTATGATTAAAATGATTAGAAATTATACGGTGGGCGTTTTTAATGGAAATGGCATATCAACGATGCAATTCGAAAAAAGTATGTTGTAATGAATTAAAAAAAAATTATATAACCATATTTTTTTTTAATTTTAGATGCATCTATTGGTCAAATAATAAAAAAATTAAAAGAAGCACACCACGGTCAAGCGAATTTTAATACACCTTTTGATTGGGCAAAAAAGAATAAAAAATCAATCGATTTTTTCATAAATATTTTTATGACATCAACGTTTTGTGTCGTCCCCGATCAAGATCAACGATTAAAAACGGGATATGAAAATTATTGTAAAGAATTAAAATTACACGATATAAGGTAATCAATTTCGAATAAAATTAAATTCGATTTAATATTAAATTTTTTTAAATTTTAGAGTTATACAATTCGCGCCAGCTTCGCACAGGTTGGATTATGCTTCAAGCGTGGCCGATTCAAAACCATATCTGGACGTTTGTGGTTTTGATGTAAACACTATGAAAGTAATTGATGGGTTTATGAACTATTTGTTTTAGTTTGTAAGCGAATTATGCCATTTAAAACGGTAGTTAATCATTAATTTTAAGAAAAATCTGACGAGACCTCCGATGAAAATGTGTTCAAAAATTGCATTCAAAAAAAAAAATAAATAAATAAATAAAAAGGACAAAAACAAGGAAGTACAGTATGCAAAATCCACATTTGGACATCATCCGAAATATTAGAAAATTACGAATTACGCAAGAATGGAAATTTCAAATATTTTTCATGTTTTATTTCACTTAGAAAAGTATTTGCTTGCTCAAGTTGATTTTAATCAAATCAAACACTGCGCTGAATGCCTATTTGCTTAATAACAACACTTAAACACCTCGGCATTAATTCCTCTAGTTTAGTGGTTAATTGAAGTAATATTTCAATTTCTTCTTGAATATTGACAATAGGATTAAGATCTGGGCTGTGTTTTGAGGTGCTCTGAATTGTTGTACACGATTTAAAGTCTAGAATCTTGCACGGTATGCTCCGAATCATTATCCTGTTGAAACATAAAATCTCGTAACATCCCAATTTTTCTGCACATTGCTCATTTTTTTTTCAAAATGTTTATACACCCCTTCGCAGTCAATAATCCATCTATAAAATGATGATTTCGGACTTCCACTACTGAAAAAGATTCCCATATCTGTATATAACTGTTATTTTGCTCTCAGAAGGTTAAGAACTGCTAATAGAAGACTAAATATTAATTGCAGAAACTGAATATCGTTGACAGAAGCAAAATTCTGCTAAAGGCGAACTAGATATTGCTAATGAAAGATTAAATAGCGTTTGCAGAAGACTACTTACAATTTGCACAAGACAAAATATTGGTGGTAAAAGACTACTATTAGCAGAAGGCTTAAACCTGTTTCGCAGTCAATATTTCATCTATAAAATGAAAATTTCGGACTCCTGTCGCTGAAAAACATCCCCATATCATCACCAAAATATTGAATTTAGTCTCCTATGTGAAAATTACCATTTACCAGAATAACCAACCAAATAAATGGGAATGTATTTTCGAAATGTTACAGTTTTTATTGTTTAAGGATGTCATCTGCTTCCTGTTGTTAATAATTTACGGTAAGTTTTCAATTTTTGCAAAGAGAATACTAATCAATTTGAATACAATATCAACACATTAATTTATTACGGCAAATTCTCGATATGGGAAAACATTTATATAATGAAATGGTTCAAGTAAGAGAAAGATGAATAAAATCTGCTGGCAGAGAATTAGATACTGTTTTCAGAACACTTAATACTACTGGGAGATGACTAATGGAAGACTAGATAGCGTTTGCAGAGGACTACTTATTGTTTGTACAAGACAAAATATTGCTCATAGAAGACTAGATACCGTTTCTAGAAGACTACTGTTAGCAGGAGGCTTAAACCTGTTTGCAGATAATCACTAATAGAAAACTAAATATTGTTTGCAGAAACTGAATATCGCTGACAAAAGCAAAATTCTGCTAGCAGCGAACTGAATACTGCTAGTGAAAGACTAAATAGCGTTTGCAGAAGACTACTTATAGTTTGCACAAGACAAAATATTGGTGGTAGAAGACTAGACACTGTTTCTAGAAGACTAGTATTAGCAGAAGGCTTAAACCTGTTTCGCAGTCAATATTCCATCTATAAAATGAAGATTTCGAACTCCTGCCACTGAAAAACATAGTTGTACACGATCCAAAGTCTAGAATGTAGTGGGGTATGCTTCGAATCATTGTCCTGTTGAAAGATAAAATCTCGTAAACATCCCAATTTTTCTTTGTTCATTTGAAAGTTCAGTTGACATTCTAGCTACTTCAAATTTTTATAATAATTCAACAAACTTTGAAGTTTTTTCAAAAGTACAGTGCTTAACAATGAAATTGGGGACAAAACACGATTAAAAATCTTGCATAACAGTAGTTATCTACACGATAATATAAAAATCTTGCAACCTGTTTGAATACAGTTTTTACTGTTAATAATCTTTCGCGTACAATTGTCAACTGTATACGCAGGGGAAGGTGTTGTACCTTGGACCATTTTATTTCTAAAGCTAATATTTCAATATTTATTAGTTATTGCTGTAAGGGATAAAATTCAAGGTTGCAATCGAAAGATGAGTAATCTTTGAAAGAAAAAATGTGGTTTCATCCAAGGTACAATACAGGGTTGTACCTTGGAACAACGTTGAATGTACCTTGTACCAATTAGTAACTGAACAAGATAGAACATGCAGAACTCGAATAAATGTTGAACTCAATGCCCTAGTTGGTGATGCGGACATAGGCAGATTTGTTAAATTTCAGCGAATTAGATGGCTGAGACACATAAGAAGAATGGAAGACGAAAATCCTTACAGAATGGAAACCAACAGAGCTAAGACCTCGTAAAAGATGATTAGATGACGTGAAGGATGACTTGAAGGCGATGGGAGTGAGAAACTGGCGAAGAGTGGCTAGGAGTAGATGGGAATGGCGTGGAATTGTTGTGGAGGCCAAATTCCCCCAAGCTTTGTAGAGTCAAACGAAGAAGAAGAAATAGATGATAAAATGTGACAAGTACCTACCATTATCAAAAAGATATAAATAATCTTTGGAAGTATTTACATAGATACATTTTTAATTACAAAACATTATATTGACTAAAGTCAACTAAAAAGATAATTTTTTCTCTGGTATTGTTGACAATTCAAGGGTAGCTGGAGTGGGAAGATATAATAGTATCAACAAAAAGACATCTCCATAGACTAGAACAAAGTTTCTGGCTGCTTTTGTACCAACTATTTTTTTTGTAAAATTGTATCCCTCATCAATTTTATTCACTATTCTGACCACAAAATGTTTTTTGGCTTTCTAGTGTATTAGTACATAATCGTTTTCTTGAGTAGAGCCGATTTTGGAAGACAATGTACAGTTGTATTTGACGCTTCGTCAACATTATAAATTTTGCTTATCTCAATTTTATACCACGTTAAGCGTGTTGTTGAAGGCTGTAGCAAGTGAAAGGCTAATAGGCTCAAGCTTTTGAAGGCTTATTGTTGGATGTTGGAAGACAATCCACTTCCTACCAGCTTTTCCTTCTTTAATCCATGAATCTGGTATATCTTTTTTATTTGCAACACTAATTTTTGTATTTTTGTCGTCACTTATTTTACATCTATTAGTAAGTAGTTAGTTGCTTAGTATTAGTAGTTAGTTGTTACATTTAACTGGTATGTAAAAACGTTGTTACTAATTAATTGAAAACTTTTCAAAGCACGAAGTGGTGTTGCCTTAGAAATTTGGTTATTTACATCGAATTGACCAACAGAGTGTAGACCAGTTGTTACATGTATCTTGGACTGGTCAAAGGTACAAACTTGTTTTATAAGTAAAACTACTACAAGTCCATGGTACATTTGGTCCAAGGTACAACACATTTCCCTAACCAAGACATTCACTTTTGCTTTTACTCTTCTAAGTGAAATAAATCATCAAAAATATTTGAAATTTATTCTACTATTTTTGAGTAATTCGTGATTTTCTAATTTTATGTGGGTGTGCGAATACGAATTTTGCATACTGTAAATAAACTAAAAAAACATTGTTTTTAAGCAAAAATAATAGTGATGAAAATGTTCTGTGATCCTCTTTATGTTTATCTTTTTAAATAGGGGAAAAAGTAATAAAAAAATTTTAAAATAAGATACAAAAACTGGTCGAAAAACGAAAAATAAATATTAATATAAAATAAAATAGTTTGAGGATTTAGTATTTTTACATGATCATACTAATTAAATTAAGAACTTACTAAGCAATTAGGATATAAGTTTTAAATTAAACTAATAATGATAAAATCTTATTAATATTAACTAATAATCATAATTTTTTTTCTTTATGATTAATTTTTAGAGAATAAGGTGCTTAATCAACTTGTTTTTTTAGGTATATCTTAATTAATCTTAATCATGTTTTATGTTTTTTTTTTTAATTATTATCTAATTTATTAAATGAGTCAGTGGCCTTATATTTTTTGTTATATCTCGAAAGAAAAAAAACCATCTCATGGAAAAGAAAGACTGTTGTTAAGTTTTGTTATTTAGGTTTTTTGGCTAAAAAAATCCAATTTTTGTTATTTATATGCATCTCAATAAAATCTAATTTTTTGTACTATTTATTCATTCATGAAATCTGTTATTTTTATATTTTGTAACTAAATTATACATTAACTGCTTCTTGTAGTTATGACTACACTTTTGTGGACTTTTCTAACACGTTGTTAATAAAAATTATCTTCTAAGCGTATTCGTTTTATTTAAAACACATTTGGGAAAAATTGGGATAATTAAAAAATTATTTTATTTTTTTTATCATTACTTTCCTAACTTACACTAATTTTTTACCAATTCATTCACGCCATAAAAATAATAAGAAATCAAATCTCTAAATTAACAAAAAGTTTCATTAAAACATCTTTTTTTTTCTATTTTTTAGGGTTGATGAGCCGCTTGTCGATGATGTCTCCTCAATGAAGATTTATCTGTAAATGCTTTATCGCAATCACGACATTTAAACATTTTTCCTGTATGTGTCACCAAATGCCTACTCAACCCAGATGCGTGACAAAAAACTTTAGGGCACAAAGTACAATAATGTAATTGAATATCAGTGGGATTTGTGTTAAGATGTGTCCGAAGATGTACTCTAAGCGGTTCTTTTTGTGTAAATCCTTTAGGACAATGGGGGCAACTATAAGGTTTTTGACCTGTATGCGTCATTAAATGGCGGAATAAAATTTCTTTTTGAGCAAAACTTTTCTGGCAAACCTCGCATTGAAAGGGGCGTTCTCCCGTATGGATTCGTTCGTGTCTAATTAAAGCAGATCGAGTTGGAAACCATTTTTCACAAATACCACAACTATAACCGCGTTGTTGCATATGCACGGAAGCGTGTCTTCGTAATTGAATCCGTCTTGCAAATGATTTTGGACAATTCGGACATTGAAAAACTTTTAATTCTCCATCTTCGTTGTATTCTCTTGGAGATTCTATCGCAACAGGTTCTTGATCTTCTTCTGTTAATAATTCCATTAAAATAACTGACCCATCCTCTGTTGTAACTTGAACTTGGGTTGGTTTTCCTGGATGTTGATCAACTTTCATTTGAAGCTCCCCGGTTAAATTTAAATTTGGGTGAGAAGCCAAAGTGTTTTTAACAGCTTCCGCTATCGCCTCTAAATCTTGATCTCCAATAACTTGTTCTTCATCTTGTTGGTCGTATTGACTTTCCATTAAAAATAAATTTTCATCTTCTTGTTCTGCATCGATTACTTCTTTTTTAAGACTCACTTCAGTGTTTATGGTACAAGCTTCTTTGTTTACATCTTCAACATCTTGGGGTAATGTGATGTTTTCGGGGGCCTCCTCAGGTTCGTTATCTTCCGGTTGGATGTAAGCCACTTGAGTTACCCCTACTAAATCTTCTTCTGTGTGGACATCTACATTATCTATTTCTGCTGGTTCTTTCTCCTGTATCATTGGTTCTTTATCCACTTCTGAGGATGTATCTTCTTCGGTGTTGTTCAAAACTTTTAAGTGGAGGCGAAGCTTCATGTCGGAAGTTTCACATTTTTTACGAAATGTATACGATTTTTCCAATTGATACCGACAAGGGTGGCATATTTTATCTGGGAGTCCATCACCTTCAAAAACCTAAATTAAAAATAATTTAATTATAATTTAAAATAATTTGAGGTTAAGTTTTGGTAATTTGACAGAAACAATTGGCAACACTGGAATACTTAGTTTCTCACTTCTCTATAGCCATAAATATTAGAAACAATAACAGGATTTAATGATTCAAATTAATTGCAAACGTTATTGTACGTGTACGTAAATACTCCATAAAATCGATTCTAACAATTAAAACTTCGTTTCGAGGAATTTGTTTTATAATTTTCAGGTTAGATTTTTTACCAACCAAAACATCGGTAAAGTTTCGGCGTCGATTCTCACCTCGAGGGAAACGCAAGCCATGATTCGTAAAGCCAACGGGGGATCGTCATTGTTGAAAATGGAGACGAGTTCGTCCTCTCGGGCCATACATAACCTACAGATCTCATTTACATCAACAATTATCTCCTGGACCTCTCCCGGTTTCTGTTTCCTACTGTACGTTTTCATGTTCTCTCCGTTGTTGGTGCTGAAAAACGGATTCGGTAAATCAGTGATCTGCCTTTTGCGACGCACACACTACGCTACCACTTTATCGGCGGACATGACAGTTGCAGCGACGCCGCGCAAATGTCGGTAAAAAAACGTTACAAAGAATACGTCAAGCGGGAAATTCAAAATTCGATTAAATAAATTCAAATATTTTTAGAAATTTATTGCAAATTATTAGCGAAAGTGTTTAATTAGATAAATTTATGCTGTAAGGGGTGGAATTTAATATATTTGTAATTAAATTAATTTGATAAAAAAAATAATTATAGGAAGCGGCAATAAATATGGCGCTAAATTTAAATTATTAACCTAAATTTTTATGATCCATTTAGAAAGAAGTGAAATGTTGTTAATTAACAGGTTGAAAACGAAAAGATTTCAATTATAAATAAATTAATATATATAAAAATTAACTTGAGTAACACTTGGAGATCTGTTCGTTGCCTTGTAACCATTTCCTGAACTGACACACCATCTTTTTGGGGGTCTTCCAGATGGTCTTGAACCGGGGGTGTTATTTACAAGCACAAATTGAAGAGCAACAACGAGACAAATCCACTTTTTGTCAAAAATGAGTTAAATACAGTTTTCGACATCAAAGTTTCATTTTCAGCCTGGAGATAACAACTGAAAGTTTTATAAAAACAAGAAGTAGCCAATATTTCTGGTAGAAGAATTAATTTGAAATCCAAAATAAACAATAACATTTTTTCCAATCGGCCTTTGTTTTGGAGATAATCGACTTCAAAGTTTGAAAATTTTCAATTTTACCCTCACACTGAAAATAAAACTTTGAAGCGCATTATGTCGACTACAAAAACCGATTCGAAAAAATGCTCTTCTTAATTTTTGATTAAAAATGAATTTTTCTATCAGAAATATTAGCTACTTTTATAAAACTTTCCGAACTGTAAGTTCCGATGTTGAACGGCTTTGTATTCTTGGCGCAATTCCCCTTTCAGGATACTTTCCTGGACGTTCAAAGCTTTGTTTTGAACGCTGTTTTGAAAGCTTTAATATGGACAATTTTACCCTGTCATTATTTTCTTACATTATTTCTTCCCTTGTTAAGAGAAATTTCGCTACACATCATTATTTTCTTTTTTTCTTTAGCAAAAGGAATCGATATACGTCTATTACTATTAAAGGAACTAACAATAACCGATATCGATAATTTAATTCCTCTGTCACAATTCGGGATACGAATTAGATGTAGAAAAGTATTATTTGGTTGGAAGACAGAAAATGTTTGTATTAACCAAACTAATTTATTAAAAGGCTTATATTTATAATATATTTTTGAGTTTTTGCACACCACTGGCATCCACTATAAGTGCTTCTACAACACCCTCAAGCTTAGATAGTTGGATAGATGAAAATACCTCAATACATTTTCTTAAGGATATTTCTTGTAGATCAACCTAAAACTGAAATTATAAACTGATATTATAATTTTACAAGACTGTTCATCGGCACTTAAACCTAAACCTCCTTTTTAAATATCATTGTTTTTGTCATACTTAACGCGTTTATAAAAATATGTAACGTATATGTTACGGGTAAAGTTAGTAGGAAGGGTTGACCTCAATAGGTTTAACCGGGTAGTTTTAAAATAAGCCAACATAACTACCAACACCACCTACCTCACCCTACTAGCTTTATTCATAACATACATACGAATTGATGAGATGAGTACTTGTTTGTTACTGATACTTACTTTATAGAACTGTTGCTTACTTTTTACTTTTTTTTTATGATGTTTAGTAACTTTTAGTTTTCTTCTTAATATATTTGTTTATTTTATATTTATGTTTATTTAAAAAAAAATAAATACAGGTGTCCCGAAACTCAACGGCAAGCGGGCACCGGGTGAGAGGTCAACCCATACTTGTTCCATGTCTCTTAATTAAATGGTAATAGGTATCGTTCCCGTACATCATATCTTTAGGTACTACAGTCAGAAATGCTCACAATTTAATAGTGATTTTTTTAATAATGTATTCCTTGTGAACCATGCTACTATAGAAATCACAAATCAAACAACAAAGATGTGCCACTCAATATCTACGAACTACAAAATGTGGTTTCAACAAGATGGTTGCCCTTATGTCTTGCAAAAGGACTGTTTCAAATAAGGTTAACCTAAAGACAAAATTAAACAAACAAAAGGAATTATTCTTTTATTTATTATTATTAATTTTATAGCATTATTGTAGGGTATTATTTAAATGGACTAGTTTATTATTACTATTATTTCCACCTCAAAGATTTTTTTTCACTTATTTATACTATAACTAACTTCTCTGCGTGTCGTCTTCTCACATCTGCTTCTCAACTTCTTATGTGTATGTCGTTCCAACTTCTATCCCCACCACCTGTCCTTCCAGACCCTTCTTTACCACAACCAGTCCCCACATTATTGTCTTAAAACTAAAGCAAATGCTCAAATTGTTTGCCGTCGGCACTAATACAAGCTCTGAATCGTCGCAAAAAAGATCTTTTTACTAGTTGTGCAAATCTCTTTGCATTTATTTCTTCTGCTGCTGTATAAATATTGTGGCACAGTTCGGCAAGATTTTCAATCGGTTTTTAATATACTGTTTCTTTTATGCAATCCTAATAAAAAGATCAAGGGGATGTATGCCTAGAGAATGAGGAGGCCACGTAATCGAACCAAGACGCCTAATCCATCTTTCTGGCTATTCTGTATGCAATACCGTACAGAACAAGGAGGACAAGCATAATGAACTGGGCAACCATCTTGTTGAAACCACATTTCTCTGTAGATATTGAATGGCACATCTTCTAAGAACAGAAAAACAGGCAATAATATTTTTTAGAAAAAGAAAAATAGCAAGTGTTATACCATTTTGGAATTTTGACTAAACAGGCCATCTTTTAAAATAACTTGCCAAGGGTGTTGTACTACTCCTTTGTTTAGAAATCGTGTGTCAAACTAAATAGACGTAAATTCTTTCAACCTTAACTCAATCAAACTAATACATTTTTTTGCAAAACTAACGACTTTTGTTGTTTGATTTGTGACTGCTATAGTAGCATGGTTCATAAGGAACACATTATTAAAAAAAAACACTATTAAATTGCGAACATTTTTGACCGTAATACCTAAAGATATGATGTACGGGAACGATTTTTAACATTTTCAATAATATGTCTATTACCACTTAACTAAGAGACATAGAATTTTTTTTTATGTTTACCAGAACAGATATGAGTAGGCCTCTCACCCGGTGCCTGCTTTACGTAGAGTATCGGGACATCCTGTATACATTTATTTTACAAATTAACTGTCTATCATTTATTTACCTATATACTGTCTTGCGGTCACAATTATTCTTTTCAGAGTAGGCTATGAAAAAGAAACCTTTTGTCTGTCATTAGATTGTTAATTTTTAAATATTATGTTATAAAATCTTTTAGATTTTAGATCTCGGACCTTTTTAAATCAAGTAACAATATATGAAACAGTTGATAGAACTAAAGACCATGCCTTAAAGAATTATTTTCTTTCAGAGTGGGCTGTGAAGAGAGAAGCTTTTGTCTTTCATTACATTATTAATTTATAGTAATTGAAGACGCAAGTTTCCTCTTCATGGCCTACTGAGATAAAATATCTATTAATGTATACTCGTGATCTTTTTAAATGAAAATAAGAGAAGGATGGCTAGCTCGGGGTCGGGGACGGTCGGGTTGGTTTACTTTGAAACCCTGCGCAAGGCTAAGGGGCCGGAGTAATCACGACGGCCAAAGCAGGTAGAGAAAGAGTAATTTAGAATTTGTCACTACGGGATTTTTAAATAGGTTTATTGTAATAAAAACCAGCTAAATATTCGATTAAATTATCGAAAATAGCATNAAACTTAATGATAATACATTAGAAAACCTATGTATTTGAAGAGCACATTTTAATAAGTCGTATTACAAATAAGTATTTTGTATTAAGCATTTGCACTACGACTTATTGATATATATAATGAATAATTATTTATTTATTTTACATTTTTATAATAAATTTATTATCAAATTTCGTTTCATTCATTATTGTACCTCTAGATTTTTAGCACCTTTATATTTTTTTCCAATACCGGTATTAATACCGGTATCACATTGAAAATATACCGAAATACCGGTTCAATTTTCGGTCGGTATTCCGAACCCTAGTTGACGGTAGTGACAATATAACACGTCCGTGATACTAGCTTGGATACCAACTTCCCCGACCACACGAAGCTAAGTAGATAATATATGCCGGTTCTGGACCGGAAGTGCTCCCCTGCTCCCCCTGATCCTGCGCATGCGCGCCGGATGTGACGTCACGGCATCCTTAAGGATCGGTCGACGGTGGCGCCACCAGAATCGGCATATATTATCTACTAAGCTAAACCCAAGCCAGGACAGCGAAATTAGTGGTGTGGGAAACTTACTAGCTCTAAAAATAGAACGGCAAGCTATTAAACTATCCTGGCTTCAGACACTAGCTTACTAGCCTGTAATGAAGCTAACATTGTATACACGAAGGTACATGCACTAGCTTACTAGCACTGGCTTGCTATCCTAGCTTACAAAACTAGCCTCGTGTATTCCGGGCATTAGGGTATTGTTACGCAAAGTTTTTTGTGCCCCTGAACAATCTGTTAAAATGGTCTTCAATTTTCAGAAATCTATCATCGCTCATTTTCCGTATTAAATTCCGTTATCAGTTTTTCAAAATTAGGGCTCCCTAATTTTTTAAGAGCGATTGAATGCAATTACAAATTAAAGAGAAATAGAAATAAGCTATGCGGTGAGAGGAGGGGTCCGTCCAATCGGAACAGATGGTGCGTCCTAGACAGTACGTCGCGCCTTTATCTTACCTACATAAAGAAATAAGGCGCGACGTCCTATCCGGGACGCGCCATCTGTTCCGATTGGTCGAAGCCCCCGTCACCCCGCAGAGCTTATTCAAATCCGTTCGGTCAAATCCGCGAGGAAATCCACCCAGCCGTTTTCGACATAACGGCGTCATACTAAACCACGATTTTCCGCGAAACTGTATGGAATATGGAAAAAATAAAATATGCCACTCATTAAGAACACATAAGGCTACCACCTGTTCAAAGTTTTTCGTACGATAGTTTTCGAGAAAAAAAATCGCAAATTTGACAAAGTTGCCGGTACCGTAAAAAATCGGGTACTTTTTTCATTTAACTACCGATAAAAAAAAACCGTTGATCCGAAAATTTTCAAATTAACATATGTTACGTAGAAATGTTCAGTGATTACAACAAACTTTGTCGCAAATTTTTTTATCGAATGGTTGCGAAGATATCGATCTCTAAAGTGAGGGGCTTTGACTTTTTGCACGGATAGTAGTTTTAATTTAAAATGGCGATTGCACCATCTAGAGGTCATCTTAGAAACATGAAAATAATTTCCAGAATTTTCTCTTAGCCACTTTAGTCATTACATTTTTTATCGCAAGTCTCTATAAGGACTAGTTTCTGAGATAGCCTACTTTGCACGCTTATTTGGCCACCCTGTAGACTTTATCCCAAGCATAGCTGAAAAGGCAAAATAAAGGATGGATGCGAATTATCGACTTAGGTTGGTTACTAATTATTACCTGCTATTAATACTATTATAATTTTTATTATTTTATTAACAAAAGGTGTTAAAAAGGAATAAAGTAAATTTATTAATTTTGTCAATTATGTACTTCCAAAACAAACATTGATAACTGATAACAAATCGNGCCTTGCGCAGGGTTTCAAAGTAAACCAACCCGACCGTCCCCGACTCCGAGCTAGCCATCCTTCTCTAATTTTCATTTAAAAAGATCACGAGTATACATTAAAATAACTACTTTAATAGATGTAATACCAAAAATAATTCTTTAAATCAATAGATACTCTGCCTACTATTTAATAGTATTAATTTACATTAAAATGACTATTTTAATAGATGTAATAGCAATAACCATTTTTTGAATCAACTGTTAAATAGTAGATAAAATATGTATTAATTTACATTAAAATAACTATTTTTATAGATATAATAATAATAATCATTCTTTAAATCATCAAATAATCAACTCTAAATGAATTATTAATCAATTATACTTTTGTATAAAATATTAATTTTTTTATTTAATTTACGTTGAAACAACCGTTTGACATCAACTAATTTCAATAGAAATAATTGCAAATACAGCTATTTGCTATTTTCTGTAGTTTTTTTAACGAAAATTTAGTTAATTCGACTACTATTTTTCGTTCAGTGTATTTTGCACGCTTATTTGGCCACCCTGTATATTTTATGCCAATCATAACTGAAAAGGCAAAATCAAGGATGGATGCGAATCATGTTCGACTTAGGTTGGTTACTAATTATTACCTGCTATTAATACTATTATAATTTTTATTATTTTATTAACAAAAGGTGTTAAAAAGGAATAAAGTAAATTTATTAATTTTGTCAATTATGTACTTCCAAAACAAACATTGATAACTGATAACAAATCGGGATTTCCTATTTAAAAGTGATCGAATGCCAATTACAAACAGTGCAACGTCCACTTGATATATCAAATAATTTCGAATAGTAGTTATTTATAAATAATAATAATATTTATCAAGTTAGCTGTTAATGTTTGACGTTGTTGACAAAAAAATAACAACGTGGACGCAACGTTAAACGTTTTATTTTACTCTACAATTTATACACGGTTTTTTTACTCAACCCTGGTTTTAACGTAATCCCGATAAGGTGAGATCACTTTTTATTTCTATTAATAAATTATTAAAACGCAAAAATTAAAATTCAAAAATTTTTTCTAACCAATTCCAATCAACTCCTTTGCTACATATTTATTGAGTATGTTTTTATAAAGTGCTAGTAGTATTATAATTGCACTTTATTAATCATTATTAATTGACAAGTGAAAGTTTTCGATGCAATGGCTCCGAATAACTTTCAATTGTATCTAATATTTCTATCAAATATCTTCCAACATTTCCGAAATGTTCCTCAATTGCTTCCAATGTCACTCTAAATTACTTACAATTATTCTTAATAAACGCAGTGATGACTCCTAATTGTTCATAAACTTTCTGTAAAGCTCCCAACTTCTACCATTACCTTTGAAAGGATGAAGAATCATTAGAATCCTCTAAATCATTGTTTTATTTTAGATGGCTAATGTAATATCGGATAAAGTCCCCAAAGGGCAGATGCAAGCCTTGCAGGCTATGACTCAGCTGGATCATATCTGCGCTCTTGACATCCATTCATTAGCCCCTAGAACTCGACTTACCGGAATAATTTGCACTATTGGTAATAAAACATAAAAACCAATACTACCCAAAACTTTCTTTAATTAATTTATTTTTTTACAATAAATTTTAGGACCATCATCTCAAGATGTTGACCGTTTGGTTGACATGTTGAAAACTGGAATGAATATTGCTCGATTAAACTTTTCCCACGGTACTTATGAATATCATTCAACGACGATTACAAATGTTAGAGCTGCTGCTGAAAAGTATGGACAAGAATTAAATTGTAAATATCCCGTTGGAATCGCTTTGGATACTAAGGGACCGGAAATTCGAACCGGTTTATTAGAAGGGGTAATAAAATTAGTACTTTAATTATTTTGTAATTAATTTATTTAAAATAGGGTCCTTCAGCTGAAGTGGAACTAGTAAAAGGCGAAGAAATTAAAGTAACAACTGATAAAGCATACGCTGAAAAGAGCAGTGCCCAAGTGCTTTACGTCGATTATGATAATATAACCTCAGTGTGTCAGCCAGATAACCACATTTTCATCGATGATGGTTTAATGTCGCTTAAAGTGGGTAGTATTCAAGGTCAAACCATGGTTTGTACCGTTGACAATGGAGGAAAGTTGGGTAGTAAAAAAGGTGTAAATTTACCTGGAGTAAACGTCGATTTACCAGCTGTTTCCGAAAAGGATAAAGCCGATTTGCAATTCGGCGTTGAACAAGGCGTCGATATGATTTTCGCCTCGTTCATTCGTAACCCAGAGGCGGTGGGGGAGATTCGAAGTATTTTGGGCGAACGTGGAAAAGATATTCAAATTATTTCCAAGATTGAAAGTCAACAAGGTATGAACAACATCGAAGGGATTATTGAGGCTTCCGATGGAATTATGATTGCTCGTGGTGATTTGGGCATTGAAATCCCAACGGAAAAGGTGTTTTTGGCTCAAAAATCCATTCTTGCGAAATGCAATAAAATTGGCAAACCCGGAGTGTGCGCCACACAAATGTTGGAGTCAATGACTTATAAACCAAGACCAACACGCGCAGAGAGTTCTGATGTAGCTAACGCCGTTTTGGATGGAGCTGATTGCGTGATGCTTTCTGGTGAAACTGCGAAAGGAGATTATCCTCTGGAATGTGTTGGAACTATGGCTAATATTTGCAAAGAAGCTGAAGCTGCCGTTTGGCATAGACAATTATTTAATGATTTGAATGCTAAGGTAATTTATTTTTAACTTATAGGACTATTTTATATTGATTTATTTTTAGATTATCCCACCAATTGATCCAGCGCATACAGTTGCTATTGCAGCTGTTGAAGCTTCAACGAAATGCTTAGCTTCAGCAATTATTGTTGTGACTTCATCTGGAAAATCAGCTCATTTATTGTCAAAGTATCGTCCTAGATGCCCTATTATTACTGTTACTAGAAATGCTCAAGTTGCTCGTCAATGTCATTTGCACAGAGCTTGTCGTCCAATCATTTTTGAAGGTGATTAATCTTTTAAATTAAACGTTAAATTAATTTTCTTTTTTTTTTTAGATGAACGTGTCGATGATTGGTTACACGATGTTGATGCTCGCGTCCAAGCTGGAATAAATCATGGTAAAGTGCAAGGTTTTATCGAGAGTGGTGATCCAGTGGTGGTTGTTACTGGATGGAGACAAGGATCAGGTTTTACAAACACCATGAGGATCGTGTTAGTAACCGATACTCTTGAATCTGTGGTGTACTGAAAATGTCCTCTCTTCAAAATCCAAAATCATTCTTTTTCCAGTTCTATTTACCAGTTTTTTCCTTTTGAAAAATTTGTATATTTGCTATTATAAATACACTATTATCTATTTTTTTTTCTTTTCAGTTATGTCTATTAAAAAAATCAACCAAAATCTCACCTCCATCGGAGAAGAAATTATTATTTAGACATAAGAATATAAAAATATTTTTAATTTATAACTTATTTATAACAATTAAACTTTGGTCCTTAAATAATTGGACCGCTTTATCCATCACTTGACTAACCAACAAGTGAACAATGTTGAGAAAAATGAGATTTTCGTTTTCATCTCTAAAAATATAAGATTTCTTAGAATATTTTTATTACAGAACACTGTTGACAGCTATCACAAGCACAGAAGCCGCTTGGTACGTTTTACGATTATACAGGATGTTTCTGTAAGTCGTGGCATAAATTTAACCACAAATACTAGAGTTAAAATGATTCGTGTAAAAATTTTTTAAGTAAATAATCTAGAATTTGATTTTGTACTTTAAACTGGTTTTTATTTTATATAGAATTTAAGTCTAACCAGTTTCGGCTCTTGGCCATCTTCAGAGACACTACAAATAGATTAACAACTCTCATCTTATCCATTTTACAAACAAGTTACTTAATGTTTCTTTTTCTTTTGTTAAAAAAGATCACATATCAAAGTCGAAATCAGAATATTACACTGCGAGAAATGGATTGTACTATGCACTAAAAATATACTATAAGGTATAATACTTTACTACGGAAAGTGACAGCGAGACGAGATTGTATTCAGTACAATAAATATAATGAATAATACAATGAATTGCTGCATGTATAATATTTTTTCTATAATACGATTCGTACAATCTATTTCTTTCAGAGTAGTTACTAACTTACAAAATTAAAGTTTAAAAAGTTGTAAAATGAAATTAAGGACAAAGTGTTAGAGAACTTTCCAAAGAAACTTAGGAAAAATTCAAGAATCATCATGTCACTTAAAAATCGACGATCCTTTTTTAATCAACGTGAAATGATACAAAAAAACATTTTAAAAATAACTAGAAAGTGCGGAAAAGTGACTAACACTAGATTAACTTCAGTTATAAAATTTCTATTATACAGTATGTCCCCGGATCGAGTTACAAAGAGGAAAAAAAAATTTATTAATGATTTTTAAAACTTATCTCAGCATAAATAATGCGTTGGATATGTTCAAACCACTAAATCGCACGAACTTTATATTCTAACTATAGAAGTTAACTAATTATTCCCATTTTTATGTAAAAATTAGACTTCTTAATTAAAAATTTTTCAAGTTCAATTTACGATATGTAACCATACAAACCATAAAAGTTACAACTTATGTTAGTGAAAAATATACGAACAAATCAAATTAAAATATGGCTAAAATTGAATAATAGTTATTTAAATGTAAATTTATGTAATAACACACTATGTAAGTAATAAATATTATTTATTTGTAAGTGAACAAATCCTCTTTCAAACAAATCACCTCCTAATTCGGCACACATTTGAAGACGAATTCTAAATTCTTTATAAGAATTACGATTTTCCGCCAGTGGTAGAGATTCTATTACATTAATTATTTTTAGTTTTAATAGTTCTGCATCATTTTGTAATGGTTCACTGTAAACAATTTCTTTCAATCGTCAAATAGGAGCATTTCGTCAAATCCATTTTTGATGAAATTATAAATTTAACCATTTGGCACAATGTGTGAATGGTAAGCTGTCTTGCTGAAAGTACACTGACCGTATAAAATTTAAGGGTAATTGGATTTACATCACTCCAATAACGACAATACTGGAAAGAAACAATGTCATTTGTTGAAAAGCTATTAGAGAAGCAGCGTCTTAATCATTTAGTCTCTTTGTCGGCTTCTTTATGGATAATACAGAACCCGTTTCCAAAAATTTTTTCATAAGTTGCGAGCCTCAACATGAGATTTTCTTGTGCCCGGATATTTTAGGTGGAATTTTTGTATAACTACACGAAAACATGATTCACCAGTACCATAGCACTGTACTAAATAAATTCTCTCTTTCACGGTTAACATTGCATGAAAAGACTTAATCTCACTAACATAAGCTTTAAGGTTTCTATGGTTACATATCATAAATGGAACTTGAAAAATTTAGAAAAAAGTCCAATTTTTACATAAAAATGGGAATAATTAGTTAACTTTTATAGTTAGAGTATAAAATTCATGCGATTTAGTAGTTTGAACATATCCGACGCATTATTAATGTTGAGATAAGTTTGAAAAATCAGTAACATACATTTTTTTCCTCTTAGTAACTCGATCCGGGGACATACTGTAAGATAACTAAGTTCTGGTTTAAAATGTCAACCTCAATTTTGACATATTTGTAATCTTCATTAAAAATCATTTAAAATGAGTACAAACACGACATATTTATCTCCAATATTAATGAAGTTATGGTCAACTTCCGGTTAAGTATGTCAACGTCAATTTTGACATATTTGTAATCGTCGTGAAAAATCCTTTAAAATGAGTCCAAACATGATACGTTTAATTCCAATATTACTCAAGATATAAGCAACTTCCGGTTTGAAATGTCAACGTTATTTTGACATATTCTTAATTTTTATAAAATGTCTTAATATTTGTCACAAAAACAAAAAAATAATTAAAAAAAATCGAAATTTAGGTTGGTATTAATATTTAAAAATTAAATTGCTATCTTCATTGTTGCTAACTTCGGGTTTAATGTTTTTTATTCTAACTTTTTTGTTTTTTGAGATAAGTGCGTTATCTATGGACTCATTTTAGAGGGTTTTTAATGAAGATGACAAATATGACAAAATTGGCGTTGACGTTTCAAACCGGAAGTGATTGTATCTCCATTAATATTAATGTTAAATATGTCGAGTTTGGACTCATTTTAAAGGGTTTTTTATGAAGTTGACAAATATGTCAACAAAAAGTTCGAACTTTTTGGTTTTTTAAGGTAAATGTGTCATGTTTGGACATACTTTAAAGGTTATTTTATAAAGATTACGAATATAATAATAAAATTAAAGTTGACATTGACAACTGAAAGTTTTTTCACGGCTAAACCCGATACTTTCTAGTTCTAGGTCTAGTGTTAGTTCTAGTTTTAATTGTTATTTAGCGTTAGATTGTGGTATATTTTTATTGAACGAAAAGTAGATCTAGAACCAGAAACATTCGTGGTTAGCCGTGAGTTTCTCACAGTTATCACCTTTCATATTTCATTCATATTTTACAAGTTATATGAAATTCCCGGTATATTAGTTATTTAATAGAAATTAAATAAATACATAAAGATATAGAAAATAAATTTTAATTTATTGCACATCACTGAAAATAAAAAAAAATTTTTAGCAACTTTATCAATACATATAATTAAATGTGATAAACTTACACAATTCTTATTGTATCCACAAACTCGGAAGCTTGATTAAAACCAAAAACAACAACTACTCTATCTCCAATTTTAATAAATGTGTTGGTTTTGCCATGATTTATTCCAGCTTGAATTCGATCATCAACATCTTTTAACCAATCACTTTTTGGATTATCTACAAACACCATAAATTAATTGTCTTTAATCAACTTTATTAAAACATTAACTTTCAAAAATAAGTGGACGAATTCCTCTGTATAAATGAGATTGCCGAGCAAATTGGTGATTCTCAGTAATGGCAATAATAGGACATTTAGGGCGATATTTTGCTATTAATTGGCTCGACCCCCCAGTTGAATTAACAACAATAATCGCAGTGGCTAAAGATTTAATTGAAGCTTCAACGGCGGCTCTAGCAATTGTTTGAGATACATCAGATTTTAACTCATTTTGATAAATCGCAGCTTCAGCTTCTTTACAAATCTTATCCATAATTTTAACACATTCCACCGGATAATTCCCCTTAGCAGTTTCACCAGAAAGCATAACGCAATCAGCTCCATCCAAAACAGCGTTAGCTACATCGCAACTTTCTGCGCGAGTTGGTCTAGGATTTTTTACCATTGACTCCAACATCTGCGTGGCGCAAATTCCGGGTTTTCCCAGCTTATTGCATCGGGCTAAAATTGATTTTTGAGCCAAAAACACTTTTTCCGTTGGTATTTGAATGCCCAAATCTCCACGAGCAACCATAACCCCATCGGAAGCTTTAATAATCCCATCTAAATTATTCAAACCTTGATGATTTTCAATCTTGGAGATAATCAAAATATTTTTTCCACTATCTCCCAAAATATTACGAATTTTTGTTATCGCTTCCGGGGTTCGAATGAACGAGGCAAAAATCATATCGACACCTTTTTCAACGCCGAATAGTAAGTCGGATTTATCTCTTTCGGAAATATCGGGTAAATTAATATCAATTCCAGGTAAAGTAACTCCTTTTTTACTTCCCAACATCCCACCATTTTCAACGGTACAAATCAAGTTGGGATCTTCAACATTGTTCACTTTAAGTGATATTAAACCATTATCGATGTAGACCAAAGTATTCGTTTGAACAACTTTGGTTATATCTTTATAATCAACGTAAACTACATGAGCATTACTTTTTTCAGCGAATTCTTTATCAGTTGTTAATGTAATTTGATCGCCTTTATGAAGTTCAACTTCAGCGGAACCACCCTAAACGCAAAAAATTAAAAATCAATCCTAATTTTAAGTGTATTTTACCAATTCTAATAAACCAGTTCGAATTTCCGGCCCTTTCGCATCCAAAGCGATCCCAATGGGAAATTGGGTCTTAATTTGTTTGCCATATTCAATAGCAGCCGCTCTAATATTCGCAATTGATTCTCCATGCTCTTGATGAGAACCATGGGAAAAGTTCAATCTAGCAATATTCATTCCATTTTTCATCAAATCGATTAAAACGGGGATGCTACGAGATGTTGGACCTAAAAAATGATTAATTTTACAGCGATTTAGATTAACGAAAAAATGTTTGTTACCGATGGTGCAAATTATTCCTGAAAGACGAGTTTTTGGTGTGAAGAAACGGGGGTGAAAAGTGCAGGTGTTATTTAGATTGATTTGGTTCCACGTTGTTGTAAAGATTGTCTAAACTTATATAGTTAAGGAAGAGAAAGAAATTATAATAATTAAACGTACCTCATCGATTTTTTTACTAGTATTAGTCATTTTAGATTGGTGTGAAGAAATTTAGAAAGAAGAACGATTCTATATGATGATTTTGCATGGTATAATTTTCCTTTTATACTTCATCGATATTTTTACAAATAAACATAATAATAATATGGTTTTGTAAAACCCCATAAACAATCAATAGATATGAAACAACAACCGCAAATAAACAAGCATAATGATAATCAATTATTTGTGTGTGTATGTAGGAAAGCGGAGGGTATGCTACGCACACAGCACCTAGGCCCCAACGGGCCCCTTGTACATCCTCCTACACTGTCTCCGGCTACATCAACCAGCCTAAGGAATTTCCGAAGGCTAGGATGCAGCTCAGAAGTGTGTTCCTGATGCCATCTGTGGTCGGCCATTCCTCTCCGAAGTCTCTCATTCTGAGGTCTTGCAGAGTGGGGCATTCACACAAGATGTGTCGGACCGTCTCCTCGCTCTCTTTACAGAGGCGACAGAGAGGACTAATAGCAAGCTTAAGGTTATAAAGATGCTTGTTTACCTTACAGTGACCCGTGACGAGTCCCGTTACAGTTCGTAGAGCGTTTCTACCAAGCCTTACGAAAGACAAGGCTGCCTCTGCTGAAGGATAATGTAATACTTCCTTAGACAGATGGCAACCCTTAACCCTATCCCACCAGTTCATGAACTTTTTGTGGGTAAAATCTTTAATTATCTCAATCTGAGTTGATAAGGACGGAGCGATTATCGGTTCAGGCGAACATGGCGCTCGCTTGGCAGCCCTTTTGGCAAGCCTATCAGCGTGCTTGTTACCTGAACAAGTCGAGTGTCCTTTTATCCATTGAAGTATGACACAGTTATGCACTGCGGCCTTCTCCAATGTCAGATGACAACCCATAACAAGTCCTGAGGTAATTGTTATTCTACTCAGGGCTAAAATAGCTTGTCTACTGTCAGTATAAATTGTAAAAGTCTTACCTACCAAGTTGGATCTGACAATAACGTCAGCGGCAAGTTGTATGGCGATTAACTCCGCCTGTATGACGGTGGTACTTATACCTAAAGGTTCAGATACGTGGAGTCGGAGATCGTACGAGAAGACTCCGGCTCCAGCTCCTTCCCGTCTCTTTGAACCATCAGTGTAGATTTTAAGGCTGTTTTTTACCTCTACTTCTGTGGAGCTTGGGTGGGTGAGATATTTCTTCGTAAAAATGTGTTGTAGGGGTGTAAAGTCCGTTACACACTCCAGAATTGGTGAGTAATCCACCATTTCATTCCAGAGATTGGCATTTTTACTATTTCTCTCACCCATTAGAATTCCTGCTGCTCGCAGTCGAGTCATGGTCACCAATGCCACCTCTTGGATGAACAAATGAAGTGGCGTTAGGTTTAACATGTTTTCCATGGCTGCAGTGGGGGTAGTCCGCAGCGCACCTGTAACATACAAACACGCAAGTCTCTGTACTTTATTAAGTGCAGTAGTGGATGTAGACTGTAGGGTCTTTGACCACCATACTACTGCACCATAAGTAAGCATAGGTCGGATTACAGCCGTGTAAATCCAGAGGGCATTTCTGGGTGACAAACCCCATGTCTTACCTATAGCCCTCCGGCATTGACCGAATGCAACGTACGCTTTTTTTACTCTATTATCTAGGTGGGCTCTCCATGTCATTTTATTGTCAAGTGTGATGCCCAGATATTTAACTTCTTTTGACAATACCAATGGAGTATCAGCAAGGGATGGCATTCTGGGATTGCCAACCTTCCTCATCCGTGTGAAAAGAATCAACTCTGTCTTCTTAGGATTCACAGAGAGTCTTTGTTCGTCACACCAAGTCTCTATCAGTTTGAGAGCTACTTGCATCCTGTCAAACAGCACGTTTATATACTTGCCTTTGACGAGAATGGTTAAATCATCTGCGTAACCAACTGTGATAAAGTTGGCTTCGGCGAGGCGGTTCAAGAGGCTATCCAGGGTGAGGTTCCACAAAAGTGGGGATAGTACACCCCCTTGTGGACAGCCTCGAGTAACTCCTCCTTGAAGACTGACATCGCCAGCCCTAAGCTTAACTGTCTTATGTTTAAGAGTGTTCTCAATCCAACCACAAAGAGTCGGTGGAACATTATGCTCTAACAAGGCATCGTTAATACCAGAGAAAGTTGTTTTATCAAAAGCTCCCTCTATATCTACGAAAACCCCCAGGGCGGACTCCTTTAGGTCCAGCGCCCCACCAACAAAGCTGGTCACTGAGTGAAGAGCCGTTAGTGTGGACTTGCCCTGAGTGTAAGCGTGTTGATTAGGATTTACTGGTTTAGTTGGAAGACAAATCTCTAATATAGCGATCACACAGTCTCTCCAGAGTTTTCAAAAGAAAGGAGGAGAGACTGATTGGTCTAAACGATTTCGGTGTGAAATAATCAAGCTTACCCGGTTTTGGTATGAAGTTCACTGTGACCTCACGCCATCGACTGGGTATATAGCGCAGCGCCAGGCATGCTTGGAAGATTTCCAAGATTTCCAATCAATTATTTATTGCCGTTTTATTTTAAAACTGCTGAATTGATTTACAGATTTCTTTTATATCAAACATCTAAACTATTAATAATTGAATGTAAATAAAATTCGATGCACTTCAAATGGATTACTTTATTTATTTCTTTTTCTCTACCGATTATTATTTATTTCTAAACGAATTTATAATTTCTTAATCCTCTCCAATCTCAATTCTCTAAGATTCTGAGGGTAATTTGAAAATGAAAACATATAAAGAAACACTCAACAACATTTATCCTAAGAATGTTTTGTAACCAATTGACGTATTCTCCTGATGATGCTATAATATGCGGCAAAACCGGTAGAGAAAAAGAAACAAATAAAGTAATCCATTTGAAGTGCAAAAAAAATCGAATTTTATTTACATTGAATAAAAAATGGAAAGAAAATCATTAAATAATATATTAATAATTGCATTAATTATACAGGTCATCCACGACGACCGTTCATCAGAACTTTACAGGGTTCTAGCTAAAACAAAAATTTGATAATTCAGATTTAAGGATTATTAATTGCGTTCTCTTCGACTAAAATATTTTCAGATTTCTAGCACTTCCGGTTATACCGGAAGTCGCCACCTATTTTATTTTTTTAAATAGAACACCCTATATATTTTTACAAATTTAGATTTGTCTGTTTTCAAGGTTTATGAATAACTTTACTTTTTGCAATTTGATTCGGCCGTTCTCGAGTTATTCGAATTTTTCTAGAAAAATCTGCTCCAGCAGACATTTGTTAAAAAAATCAGAGAAAACTCGATTTTTGGGATATCAATTTAGGATTCAGAACATGCGTAAACAACGTGATGGAGTATGTTTTGGTGCCAAGTACGGCCGTCTAGAACGTTTGGTCACTTTACTACGGCACGTTAACTTTTCGAAATTTAGAAATACCATAACTTCATTTTTTTAAATGGCACCCCCATATTTTATTACTTAGTCGTCTTAGGTGTCTTATTTTACATCTTTTATATCAGATATGTCCTATACCTAACATTTATAGTTTGGTTAACACTAGGTTAAATATCATATCGATATTTAACCTAGCGTATAACCATATGAAGTGGCCTTTTGAAAATTTGCAGACTTCTGATGTTTGATGCCAGCTTTTTAGTAAAATATTTTCAGGTTCCGGGTACTTGCAGTTACACCGGAAGAGGTGACAATTTTCATATTTCAAATGGAACACCCTGTATTTCATTACATTTTTGAAATTTTTGTTCAATTTTAGGCCATTTGTATGTTGCAGCCGACACGTATGCGCAATTATTTGGTTGCACTCTCCATAAATTATTATCAAATTCAAATAATCCTCATTACTAAATTCCAAATGTTGCATTTCTTGAGAACAGATCACTACAAAAAGTAACCTAGTCATCACACCAACAGAAATAAACCATAGTGAATGATTCTAGTTGTAGGTCTTGTGTTAGTTCTAGTGATAGCGGTAGTGTAAAACTAGAACTAACACTAGACCTAGGACTAGAAAATATCTATTAACTTTCTAGTGGTCTAGTGTTAGTTCTAGTGTTAGTTTAATAACAATACAGAACTAGAATCATTCGGGTTTAGCCGTCTTGAAAGACGTGCGGCTAAATCCGAATGTTTCTAGTGTTAGTTTAATAACAATACACAACCTAACGCTATCTAGTGCTAACTAGCACCAGTTAGCACTGTCACTAGAACTAACACTAGACCTAAACCTAGAAACATTCGGATTTAGCCGCACGTCTTTCAAGACGGCTAAACCCGAATGATTCTAGTTCTAGGTCTTGTGTTATTTCTAGTTTTAGTTCAATAGCAATACACAACCTAGCACTATGTAGTGCTAACTAACACTACTTAGCACTGTCATTAGAATTAACATTAGACCTAGAATTAGAAAGATTCGGATTTAGCCGTACGTCTCTCAAGACGGCTAAACCCGAATGATTCTAGTTCTAGGTCTTGTGTTAGTTCTAGTTTTAGTTCAATAGCAATACACAACCTAGCGCTATGTAGTGTTAACTAGCACTAGTTAGCACTGTCACTAGAATTAACACTAGAGCTAGAACTAGAAACATTCGGATTTAGCCGCACGTCTTTCAAGACGGCTAAACCCGAATGATTCTGTGCTAGTGATTCTGTGCGAGTGATAGTGCTCGTGTAAAACTAGAACTAACACTAGATCTAGAACTGGAAACACTCGGGTTTAGCCGTGCGTCTGAGAACGCTCGTTAGTTCTAGTTTTACACTAGCACTGTTACTTGTAGAACTAAAACTAGGTGTCCACTTGCGAGAAATACTCTCGAGAGAAGCTATCGAAAGTATTTTTTGTGGTGGACACACATCTGAGAGTAACTATCAGAGAGTTTCTACCAACTTTCGGAGAGTAAACAGGTTGAGATTTGTACTCAAGTGGATACGCATAAGTTATCTATTATGAGAGTAACTGTCAAAAAACGAACACGGTTCGAATTTTGCTGCGAGTTTTCTCAATATAACACGTTTAAAGATAACGTCTAAAAGAAAATGGTCCCAAGAAGAAATATTTTCTTCATACACTTCATATGAAGAAAATTCAGTTCTTTGGAATACCAAATCTAAAGAACATAGAAATCGGGAAACGAGGGATGCAATTTTAACAAGTATTGGACAGAAATTTAAACGGGATTTGTACCATTGGTAATATCTAGTCTTCTGACAACATAATTTGGTCTTCTGACAGTAAAATTAAGTCTTCTGCTAACAGTATTTGGTTTTTTAGTAGTAGTGTGTAGTCTTCTGTAAGAAGGATGTGCTTCATTTGCAGTATCTAGTCTTTTACTAGCAATACTTAGTCTTCTGCCAGTAATATCTAGTCTTCCACAACAGTATTTCGTCTTCTGATAGTAGTGTGAAGTCTCCTGTAAGAAGAATCTGCTTCAGTTGCAACATCTAGCCTTTCATTAGTAATACTTAGTCTTCTGCCAGCAATACCTAGTCTCTTTCAGCAATTGAGGCGTTTAAGTTTATATTTTCTAATAATTTTCCAAAATACTGCCAGACCACTATTAAGCTACCATGTGCACGACAATAAACTTATAGTTTGCATTTATAAGTGCCATTAAAGCAATCGAGTTCACTTAAGTAAAGGTCTTAACCAGTAATAAATACGTACGAAGTTTCAAATTCTACGGTTTACTTACAGCCGAAATACAAAACAAAATGTAAATTTTTGGCTCAACTTTGATAGCTAATAGCTCCATCACATCCAAAAAAGTTATATGCTTTTGTGCATTTTTACAAATTATTCAATACGTTTCTTTCCATTCACGTCGCTAATGTAGAGTTTCTTTTGCAGTACGCGTCCGTTATAGCCGGCAGATTGCTAAACTCTTCCAACAGTTTCTGCACTTATTAATTTGATTTTGAAGGTTTGCTGCTATTTTTGGGAATTTTCTCCGAAGATTTGCAATAACTTCTTCTCTAATGCTTCGTTCATCTCGGGGAGTTAGCAATTTTGGACGGCCCCTACGTGGTGCATTTTCAATATTTCCGGCATTTACAAACTTTTTAATTATGTACTGAATAGTAGAAGCACTTTTATCAGGTATTTTAGCTATTTGGCGTGTAGAACGACCCTCCTTACGCAATTTTATGACTATTTTTCTACACCTATATCCGTTCTTCAGGGTGGTATGGAGTGTAACCATTACTGGTAGGTTAGATAAGGTTGGGTTAGGTTGGGATTTACAAAGACATGACAAAATTTCCGTCAGAATTCAGCAATTTTGAAGAATTATTAATTTATTTTATTATTTTAATGAATTTAAGTGTTTTTTTATTTACAAATGCGTTCAAATAAAATAATTATAACTATAATAAATAAATTATCTCTTATATACAATTCTATTTTAGAAATCTTGCAAAAACCGTTGGTGTACGATGACTTTTGACACTGACTGTAAGTAGGTAATTCCTGGCTTCTATGGAAATATAATATTTTTGTATTTTACATCTTAAGTAAAATCATTGTCTTTAAATATTTAAAGACAAGGGTTAAATTCACTGTATATTGTTATACCATCTTAATAACTATCTTTTAGAACCGCACTGTATACACCTATCAAAAATAATAAGTGAGGTTATGTACAACTGTCACTTTCCTAACCTATATCATAATTTTTAATTGTAATACTTGATAGTGATTTAACAACACTTTCACAACTAATCTTTTAAACTATACCTTATCATGTGATTATTACAATTTAATTGTTTCTAATATATTTTAAAACTTGAATGCTCGAGTATTTCACTCATCGTGGAAATCAAAATGAAGCAACAATTTATTTGCGTTATGTTAAAAAATCGGATTGGTAATAAATTGTGTTTTTGCTAATAGGAAATGTGATTGGTCGTTTTAACGCATGCGAAATGGTTGCCTCGATTTGGTTTACCCGGTGGACGAGAAGGGCAATACTACTATAGTATAAAACCATTTCTAGGTAAGTGTTGTATCCTCATCTCTGTTTAACATTTTATTTATTCGGTTATTTCTATTTCTATTTAATAGCCCATCCACCATATTCTTAAAGGAGTCTTATCGTAAATTCGAGGATACGTTATGGAGGTACGTAAAAACATTTATTATTTATTTATTGATATAAACTTGTTTATTCTAAGAACACTGATGCATCATCAAATTTTAATGTATTGAAGAACGGTTCTCAAAAGCTAATATTTTTAAATTACTTTGTATAAACAAAGTTTGAAACTAAAAGAAAATGTATTAAAGTTTTAGATAAACTTAAAATTAAACGTTGATATAATACAAACTTAATCAAATACTTTAAAAGGTGTAAAAGTTGGTTGTTTTATGTCGGATTTAATACAATTTTAGGTTGTTTAATAAGGAAAAACAATAAGGTCATCACGCAATATGGCTTCCAATGCTGGGTTACACGTGAAATACGCGTGACCTGAAACGCTAAGGTCGATAAAGACACCTTGTTCAGACCTTGTCGAAGTATAGCAAAAAACATGTCATCTTGGTTGCATACTTTATTATATATTTTTTAGCAATTTCTTGTTTTTTAATTTTATTTGTTGTTTGTAATTCGTATCTACAAATTTTAAAATATTTAATTATTGTAAATATTATTTCACTTAATCTAATAATATTGAAAATAAAAATAATGGCATGAAGTTAGGAACAAAAATTACTTTGAGATGATCTTTACGTTGATAAATATGATAAATAACGTTAAAAAGATTAAGAAAATTATTTTAACTGTATTTTTTTTTAATTAAATAATAATTAAAGAATTGATAAAGAGAAAACATCTATTTTTAAAAATTAATAAGTGAGGTTAAAAATAATTTTTTAGTTTTATCAAGTTTGCCGATTAATGTAAATAGAAAAAATGTTTGAAGTTATTTCTTCTTCCTCTTTATATAAGGCCTTTGCTTTGTACCAGCTTTCATACCACCTTGTGGGCGAGCGTCCAGGAAGTCTGTTTAATCTTGGGATACCATATTATTATTATCTATTTAATATATCAGTGTATTTAAATATAGCTCCCGTAGATAGAATCCAAATTGGGTTATTCCTTCAGAGCAAATCCATGGAATAGAGCAATTCTATGTTCTAGTGTTAATTGTTATTAGGTGTTAGATTGTTGTCGATTGTTGTGACGTTTAGCCGCACGTCTCTCAAGACAGCTCTTGTGTTAATTGTAGTGATATTGCTAGTGTAAAACTAGACCTAACACTAGACCTAGACCTAGAAAGTTTCTAGTTTGTCTAGTGTTAGTTCTAGTTTTAGTTCAATAAAAATGTATAACATAGTAATATCTTATGCTAACTAGCACTTCCTACCACTGTCACTAGAACTAACACTAGACCGAGAACTAGAAACATTCGGATTTAGCCGCACGTCTCACAAGACGGCTAAACCCGAATGATTCTAGTTCTAGGTCTTGTGTTAATTCTAGTGATAGTGCTAGTGTAAAACTAGAACTAACACTAGACCTTTTATATTCGCATTGTCGCTAGAACTAATACTACACCTAGAACTAGAAACATTTGGGTTTAGCCGTACGCCTTTTAAAACGACTAAACCCGAATGTTTCTCTTTCTAGGCCGGATATTTGTTCTAGAGACAGTGCTAAGTAGCACTAAGTTGCACTACATAACACTAAGTTATTGTATATTTTTATTGAACTAAAACTAGAACTAACACTAGATCTACAGCTAGAAACTTTCGGGTTCAGTCGTGCGTCTTCAGATTCTCAACACGGCTGAACCTGAATGTTTCTAGGTCTAGTGTTAGTTCTAGTTTTAGTTCATTAGAACAATATAATGCTGAATAACATCTAAAACTAAAGCAAACACTAGAACTAGAAACATTCGGATTTAGTCGTACGTCTCATAAGACGGCTAAACCCGAATTATTCTAGGTGTAGTGTTAGTTCTAGTTTTGCATTAGTACTGTCACTAGAACTAATACTAGACCTAGAACTACAAACATTCGAGTTTAGCTGTACGCCTCTTAAAACGGCTTATACTTTTTGTCCTGCATAGCTATTATAGTTGGGACCAACCCCTCAAGAATGTTCCCCGAGTTGTCTATATTATCAATAAATCAAGGGCGGTAGTTCTAGTGTTAATTGTTATTAAGTGTTAGATTGTTGTCGAAGTCCCGTTCGTGACGTTAGCACTGAATAACAATTAAAACTAGAACTAGAAACATTCGCGTTTAGCCGCACGTCTCTTAAGACGGCTAAACCCGAATGATTCTACTTCTAGGTCTTGTGTTAATTCTAGTGATAGTGCTAGTGTAAAATTAGAACTAACACTAGACCTAGAACTAGAAACTTTCTACGGCTAGGTCTAGTGTTAGTTCTAGTTTTAGTTCAATCAAAATGTATAACATAATATCTTATGCTAACTAGCGCTTTCTACCACTGTCACTAGACCGAGAACTAGAAAGATTCGGATTTAGCCGCACGTCTCTCAAGACGAGTAAACCCGAATGATTCTAGTTCTAGATCTTGTGTTAGTTCTAGTGCTAGTGTAAAACGAGAACTAACACTAGACCTAGAACTAGAAACTTTCTACTTCTAGGTCTAGTGTTAGTTCTAGTTTTAGTTCAATCAAAATGTATAACATAATATCTTATGCTAACTAGCGCTTTCTACCACTGTCACTAGAACTAACACTAGACCTAGAACTAGAAAGATTCGGATTTAGCCGAACGTCTCTCAAGACGAGTAAACCCGAATGATTCTAGTTCTAGGTCTTGTGTTAATTCTAGTGATAGTGCTAGTGTAAAACTAGAACTAACACTAGACCTTTTGTATTCGCACTGTCACTAGAACTAATACTACACCTAGAACTAGAAACATTCGGGTTTAGCCGTACGCCTCTTAAAATAGCCAAACCCGCATGTTTCTCATTCTAGGTCGAATATTTGTTCTAATGCAGTGCTAAGTACCGTAATATGGGGTTACTTGGACACGTTTTTTGTGCATTTTTCAAGATTAAAAGTGAAGAAATAAAGTTAGAATAACAGAAACTAGTTCATCATACCAACTTAACCTTCAGGATTATATATCTATCATAAAACGTTGAAAATACCAAATACAAACAACAAAAAATATATAAAAAAGTGATGTCCGAATAGCCCCAATAAGGCTTCTTGGACACTAATCTTGGTTTTTGGGACAATCTTTTACTTTGCATGTCAGATGGTCAAGTTCCCCTGACAATGTAACTGAAGAATTAAGGAACGTATTTTTATGTAAAAGACACATTTTTTATTGAATTAAACATTAAAAAATATTAAATACATTTTAACGAAACTGTATTTATTTCTTCTTACAAGTGTTTCACTTGTTTATCGAATGTCGGCCTTTGTCAAGGGGAACCCCCAATTCGCAACAACAGCCAAAGTTTCAGAAATCAACAGTTCCTCAGACTTGCTTAATACAGTCGGATGTCCAACGGGTCTTGAATTCCTTCCAAGCATCTTTCGTATTAATGTTGTCCGAGACACTTTGAACGTTTCTGCGGCTTTTTTCTTTGACATCCCTTTCCAAACTGCATCCATGGCCTTTTCCAAGTCTTCCACTTTGTGATTCACGGGTTTTGACCTTGGAGTTTTTTGATACGTGCGCATCATTTTTTAACAACAGAAACAAAAACATAACCTAACCTCGCTTTCGTGTCACAGGACTGAACACGTATGCGTTGTGTCCATGTAACTCCGGAGTGGCCAAGTAACCCCATCTTACGGTAACACTAAGTTATTGTATATTTTTATTGAACTAAAACTAGAACTAACACTAGACCTAGAAATTTTCGGGTTCAATCGTGCGTCTTCAGATTCTCAACACGGCTGAACCTCAATGTTTCTGGTTCTAGGTCTAGTGTTAGTTCTAGTTTTAGTTCAATAGAACAATATAATGCTGAATAACATCTAAAACCAAAGCAAACACTAGCACTAGAACTAGAAACATTCTAGGTCTAGTGTTAGTTCTAGTTTTGCATTAGTACTGTCACTAGAACTAATACTATACCTAGAACTACAAACATTCGAGTTTAGCCGCACGCCTCTTAAAACGACTTATACTTTTTGTCCTGCATAGCTATTATAGTTGCGACCAACCCCTTAAGAATGTTGATCACCATCTGCGCAAGCTTCTGGTCTTCTTCGTTTTTACCTTTGGGTGGGTTTGGGACCCTCGATGTAACGACCTTCTCAGTAGACGCTACTTTATTAACATATGAAACTCCTCTCTTCATTTCAGCGTTCTGGACCTTGGCCTTTCTTTCTCCGACCTTTCGCATCTCTTTGATTCCTCTTGGGCAAACTTCCCGGACTTCGAATAACTTTTTTCCTTCTTCGTTCTTGGTCGTATTTACCAGAACTAACGGCAACTTCTTGTCTTTTCCGTTCATTCTCTTCACGCTCTTTAAGTGGATTCCCTTTTCCCTCAAGTGTTCTTCTATTTTCTTGGTTTCAATTCCCCCCGGGATTCCTTTTAGCACAACTTTCAACTCCTTCTCCTCTGGGAGTTGGTAATAATGAAACTTCAATTTTATCATTTCGAATACTCGGCGTAGTTTCATAAAACCTTCCGGTGTTGCCATGAATATCTTTATTGCTTCCTTCGCATTAAAGTTTTTCACAATGTTTACGCCATTTTCCATCAGTTCCGTTTTTGGAACATCCTCCTCTTCCTGTTCGGCTGGTAAGACCCTTGGACCGGGATGAAGCTAGCTTCGCTAGCGTCCAATGCCATTTCGCTGTCCGAAATTGGACCGGAGTTTGCGCCTCCTCTTTGCTTTTCTTCTCACCTTTGATAAATCTTGTCAGATCGCGGAACTTCACTTCGTGCCTCGTCAAGCTGCCTATCAAAACATTGAGCTGCTCCAAGCAACTTCTTAATTCTTTATTATCCATATTTGGCACTCGTAGGTCGCCACGACATTACGAGGGTTTATTCCTCTTAGGAAAATCCTCCATTTTCCTGGACCCCTAGAACTAATCTAGTGTCAGTTCTAGTGCCAATGTTAGCTTTACTTTTAGTTCTTAAGTATTTCCTAATTGAAAGTGTGAAATAATAGTTGCCTATCCATGTGTGACGTCACGAACGGGCCTTCGAGCTGTGCTTTACCTGATTCTTGGCTCTTTCGATATGGATAGTGCTTTAGACTTTCTTCGTGTCTTTCTACCTTCCACTTGTATTTGGCCCCAATTGTCCGTATTTAGCTCGACTATAATGTTTTGACAAAATCACATGTATGCTGTTTTGTTGTATTCTATAGATTTTTCCACGATTTGTCTAATTGCAAAGATGGCGTCTATAGTTTTTGCTACCGTCTTGTTGTTGCCAATATCCTTTATCGTTGAAAATTTAGCTCACCCTGTATATATATTTTAACTCTGTTTTTTTTTTGAAAAATATAAATTGAGCGGTAAAAAATATCTTGATTAGATTCGATGAAATGAATAAAACAATATAATTTTATTGGCTAGCTTATAAATTATTTATTATTGTTCTTTTTTTTTTTAGAAAATCCAAAAACTAATAAAACTTATGATTAGAATTAAGATCACACAACAAATTTTTTATCGTTAATTAAACAAAGAGGGTTTCTTAAACATTGTTTATCTGGAAAAGATTTTTTTTAATATTATTTAATTTGATCAACTCAAAAATTTATTTTGGCACACCACCTAAAACAAATTCTGCATCTATTTTTATAACCACACTGAACATTATTGCATGAGTCTTGGATCTAAAAGATTATTGAGAGTCTAACTTGAAAACCGTTTCAACAAACTTTATTTTTCCCCCCATTTAACACACTCTCCATCATAGGGTTTCCCTAAATCATTTTCTTGTCTATGCTTGTTTCAATCGCGAATAGATTACAAAGGCTCGATCCGGTATATAAAGGAAAATTTAGATCTTACAAAACAGTCGTTCGTAATCATTTTTCTCGATCGGTCTTCTGTCAACGTTTAAATTTAAAGTACCAGTTTAGAATGACTTATTCTAGTATTTTCGATGGGGTGCGTATATTTTCGTTTTATGTTTACATATTTGAGTGAGAGTGTTTTAATTTTTCAGAAGATATCGTGCCAAATTTGTTGGTAAATTTCCAAATCAAATTTTGACCTCTTTCTAACAACGTCTATTTTTAAATATGTGTTTTGATGTGAATTTAAATTTATAGAAATGTTTTAAAATTAAAACGATTAAGCATTTTTCTAAAATAATAAAATTATGTATTAATTTTGATCTGTCATTTTGACAACCTCATGACATATTAACATAGTAATTCGTATAATAGATTTATTTCTGTATTTTACTTATTATTTCTCCCCTCCAAACTTCGGAGTTCAATAAGTTGAAATAAATAGGCAAAATGATAATAATAAGCTAATAATTCAATTAATAATTCATTAACAGGGAATTTTGTTATATTAAGTTTTGATCTATTTGTCATAATGACGTTTGAACTGTCATTATTGAAAATTAAATTCATTTTTTAAATCTTTTTTAGGTAACAGCTTCAACAACCGACATAACTCGGGCTCAAAAACAAGCCTTAACCCAGCTTGATCACATTTGCGACTTAAACACCCATTATTTCACCCCAAAAACTCGTCTTTCAGGGATAATATGCACCATTGGTACTAAAAAATTAATTTATTTTTTTTAAATCATTAATGAAATAATTATTTTTAGGGCCAGCATCTCGAGATGTTCCCGTCTTAATCGAAATGATGAAAACTGGGATGAATATTGCGAGATTAAACTTTTCCCATGGTACTCATGAGTACCACGCAGAAACCATTGCAAATATTAGAGCCGCTGTTGCTGAATACAGCAAGCAAGTGAAGATACAATTTCCTCTTGGAATCGCTTTGGATACTAAAGGACCCGAAATTCGCACCGGATTATTAGAAGGGGTTAGAAAAAAATTGATTTGGGATTATTTATTAAAATTTTTTTGTATTTAGGGAGGTTCCGCTGAAGTTGAATTAATCAAAGATGCTAAAATTAAGTTAACAACCGATAAACAATACGCTGATAAAGGAAATGCGGATATAATTTACGTGGATTATGACAACATAACCAAAGTTGTCCAACCAGATAATTACGTTTACATCGACGATGGTTTAATAACCATCAAAGTAGACAGCATAGAAGGTGCAACTTTAAATTGTACCGTTGAAAGCGGTGGGATGTTGGGTAGCAAAAAAGGTATTAATTTACCAGGAGTTAATGTCGATTTACCCGCCGTCTCCGAAAGAGATAAAGCCGATTTGCGTTTTGGCGTTGAAAAAGGTGTCGATATGATTTTTGCTTCATTCATTCGCAACCCAGAAGCGGTAACGGAAATTCGCCAAATTTTGGGTGAACAAGGAAAAAATATCATGATTATTTCCAAGATTGAAAATCAACAAGGTGTGGATAATTTAGATGCGATTATTGAAGCTTCCGACGGGATTATGGTCGCTCGCGGCGATTTAGGGATTGAAATCCCAACAGAGAAAGTGTTTTTGGCTCAAAAATCGATTTTAGCCCGATGTAATAAACGCGGAAAACCCGGAATTTGCGCCACGCAAATGTTGGAGTCGATGGTTAAAAATTCAAGACCGACTCGAGCTGAAAGTTCTGATGTAGCTAACGCTGTTTTGGATGGAGCCGATTGCGTTATGCTTTCTGGTGAAACTGCCAAAGGAAGTTATCCTTTGCAGTGTGTTAGAACCATGGCTAAAATTTGTAAAGAAGCTGAAGCTGCCGTTTGGCATTGGAGATTATTCAGCGACTTAAATTCTAAAGTAATTTTATTTATTTATCATCGTGTTTGTTTATTAAATATTAATTAATTTAGATTGATCCCCCAATCGATCCCGCCCATTCAATCGCCATCGCCGCCGTTGAAGCATCAACTAAATGTTTAGCAGCTGCGATTATCGTCGTTACCGCAACTGGGAGATCAGCACATTTAATCGCTAAATATCGCCCAAACTGCCCGATTATTGCAATTACTAGGAATGCGCAAGTTGCGCGTCAAGCTCACCTATACAGAGCTATTCTTCCACTTATTTATGAAGGTTATTAAATTTCTAAATAATTTTTTTATTAGCTTATTCGATAGTTTAACAAAGTTGAAGACATCCATAATTTTTTATTTTTCAAACGGCTTTAGTTTTTCTAAAAAAAAATAATGTAAATTTGAAGAAACTTTGGTGACGTCATCCTCGTTTCGCACCTAGGTTTGTGTATAAGAGGTTGTCTAAGTTTATACGCAGCCATACTGCGCATTATGTAATTGGTGAAAAATAATACCGGGAAATAATTCAAATTTTTAAAGTAATGAACTTGAATTACTTCAATATACAGGCTGTCTCACGTAACTGGTTCGTTAGAACTTTTTCAGGTTCCACTATTCGTGGAGATTTGAAATTTTGGTAGCATGGGTTGTTCATTCGGAACTTTCGATCTAAAATATTTTCAAGATGGCTACCACTTGCGGTCTACCGGAAGTAGACCATAACTTTGTTATTTTAAATGAAATGCTACAGTTTTTATTACATCATCAGGGCACGGAACTTTTGTAACAAAACGATACGATTTCCCCCCTCCACTCGTTCTCAGCGGCGTTCGCTGAGAAAATCTCAAAATAATAGTTTTTCCATTTTTATACATAATCACACTTAGATGCTTAGTTAATAGAGATGTAAATTTTTTTATTAAGATAATTGATTCAAAATCGAAATTGAAACAAATTTTATTTAAAACATTTTTTGATAAAAACAATAATTATCGAGATAATTAATTTTGATAGCATACTATTCAGAGGGAAATTAAAATTTCAAGTTAGCAAAAAATTGTATTAACAAACACTGTTCCTGAAGTAATTCTAAACAAATTTTGTTAACAACATTTTTTGATTAAATCAACAATAAGGATATAACCTCAAAAATATTAATTTTTGTAGCATACTGTTCAGTGGGAAATTAAAATTTCAAGTTAGAAAAAAATTGTGTTAACAAAAATTGTTCCTGAAACAATTCTAAACAAACTTTGTCAACAATTTTTTTTGATTTAATCAATAATTAAGGAGATAACCTCAAAATAATAATTTTTCCGTTTTTATACATAATTATACTTAGATGCTTAATTAATAGAGATGTAAAAATTTTTTATTAAGATAATTGATTCAAAATCGAAATTGAAACAAATTTTATTTAAAACATTTTTTGATAAAAACAATAATTATTGAGATAATTAATTTTGATAGCATACTATTCAGAGGGAAATTAAAATTTCAAGTTAGCAAAAAATTGTATTAACAAACACTGTTCCTGAAGTAATTCTAAACAAATTTTGTTAACAACATTTTTTGATTAAATCAACAATAAGGATATAACCTCAAAAATATTAATTTTTGTAGCATACTGTTCAGTGGGAAATTAAAATTTCAAGTTAGAAAAAAATTGTGTTAACAAAAATTGTTCCTGAAACAATTCTAAACAAACTTTGTCAACAATTTTTTTTGATTTAATCAATAATTAAGGAGATAACCTCAAAATAATAATTTTTCCGTTTTTATACATAATTATACTTAGATGCTTAATTAATAGAGATGTAAAATTTTTTTATTAAGATAATTGATTCAAAATCGAAATTGAAACAAATTTTATTTAAAACATTTTTTGATAAAAACAATAATTATTGAGATAATTAATTTTGATAGCATACTATTCAGAGGGAAATTAAAATTTCAAGTTAGCAAAAAATTGTATTAACAAACACTGTTCCTGAAGTAATTCTAAACAAATATTGTTAATAAAAATTTTTGATTTGATCAATAATTAAGAACATAATCTCAAAAAAATTTTTATATATATATTTTTATATATTCTTTATTGAGAAAATCGTTTTAGAATTTAATTTAGAACAACTTTTGTATAAAATTTTCTGCTGAGAACGAGTGGAGGGGGGAAATCGTATCGTTTTGTTACGAAAGTTCCGTGCCCTATACATCATTTAATTGTACGTAAAAAATACATAGGTTGACTTTGATAAAAGTTATTGGTACCTAGCGTTTTTCGTTTTCGAGTTATTTTGGTTTTAAGCTTTTTTTTGGTAAATTTCAACATGCTCTTTAAAACCCCATATTGCAGCCAACGTTCATTCAAAAAAGTTCTATATTGACACGATTACTCTTCAGATGCTGTCAAACAGATTGTCATTTGTTGTATCGGAGTATCTTATACAGATTGGTCAAAAATTGAGTTACTGTTTCTCCATATTCAATAGCGAGAAAGTCGAAAATTTTAAATGGAACGCCCCATATTTTTTTAGCCTATCAGAAAGAGATTTTAATTCTCTACAAATTATCTATAAACATTCCTATGCCTATTTCTTGTAGTTTGCCTCATGTTGGGAAATTTATTAAACGAACCAGTTACGTGAGACACTCTGTATTTAGTGTGGTATACAGGTGTCCCGTATCTTCAGCATCAGAGCATTATGCGGTTGTAGGATACATTATTCTGAAGCGATTTTTCTAATCAAATTTTTCCGAAATATTTATAATCCATAATTAACTGTGGTAAACGGATAATAATTCAACTTAATTTTTGATATAAATTCACTTACCATAAAATAATTGAGGAAAACTAAAGTAGTAATTGATTTATGTTATACTATACTCTATTTTTTATTTCGGAGGAGTAAAAAGAAAAGTCACGAAAATTCGGGATCAGTTTAGGATCGCCCAAAGCAAAATTTCCAGTTTAAATCCTACAATTATTTTCATAAATAACGAAATATTGGTGCTAAAATATTTACATTGGCAACTATTAAGATGGATTTTATTTATAATTATTATTTTAGTATCAAATAGACATAGTCAAATGTCTATTCAAATTTGCAATGCTTGCATATAAGTAAATACATATTGCCTAAATGAGACAAATTTTAAAGAGTCAAAATTTAGATTCATGTTCTAAGACTTACCAAAATCGAAACTAAACTATTCTATTGGGGAGCACATTTTGCGCTTAAAAGAAAATCTCCAGTCTTTTTGAAAACTATAATATTTGCACTGGGAAGTGTTAGGATGGATTTTACAGTTATTTAGTTTCAAATAGGCACTCTTAAATCTGAAATGTTTTCGGTTTACTAAATAAAGTATCGAGATTTCAAATTCATGACCGAAACTCGTCAGCTTCTAATTGTTAGTCTTAGCACCGATTTTTGTTGAAGATTGCCAAGGTAATAGAAACTAAACGCTGTAACCATTGCCAACCTAAGTCTTGAGTTGGATTTGAACACCTTTCAGTCTTATGTTAAATTAGACAAAACATCGAGTTTTCAAGACGAAATTCATGTTTCTAGACTTGTTGAAATCCTATATGTCATTTAGAACATTTAGTTGCAAGGTTATTTGAATTTTAAGTGAACATAATTAATTTCAGCAGTTAAATTTTCAGTTGGAACGTACAGAATCGACAACATACTGGATATTTCAATAGAGGTATCTACTTCCGAACTGATCTTTTCCTCTAAATTGCCTCTTTTCATTTTTGAGTTACCGTGTAGGTACACATGTTTATTGTCTGGGTTGGTTGTGGATTAGATGGGCTTGGTTTAGTTTGGGGAGTTTTGATTGGGTTTGGTTTGAGTGTAAGGATGATTTGTTATAGATGTGGTTCGGAATAATTCGAGCTATTAGTCCGATTGTAAGCTATTCAGCTTCTATGATGGAATGAACCAAGTGGCATTTACCGCCATCAAATATCAGTAAGCACGGCCCAGAAAACTTATATTTTGGAAAATGGTGGATCCAGCTGACAAAAGCGTTCACTGTCATACTGCCTTTGGCAGTCATTTGGCAACTGCATCTGCTGGTAAAGAATCTAGCTACTCTGGCTTCATTCTTTTCCCTTGAACAAGATCATTGGGGGGACTACGTAGCTAATGACACTTCCACACAAAACAATAGTGACACTTTCAGCGTGCTCAGGGGTCACTAGGTGTACTTATTCATGAGATCATTGTCTTCCATCATCTTCCTAAGTTTCTTGAAATAGTCTGAACCAACAGCTTTGTTGAGCTTCTGAACCCTAGCACGATTCAGATTTTGGGCTTTCCTTCTTCGAATATTCGTAAACCGTTTCAAAAAACCTCGCAGCCAATCTCTTCCCATCAAAAAGCCATTGATTCTCCCTGCAATATTATTTGCCTCACTTCTTGATGCACATACCAAGTACACGTGGAGTCGAAGGATATCCGACATCGCTTAGTCGTACGATACGAGACGATATCCCTCTTTGTTCTTGAGCAGTAAGAAGCGGTTTTCTTCCCAGTTTGGATTTTGTGTCCTTGTTCTCTTTCAGATATCGTCGGAGTGTTCGCCTAGTAACATTAAAATGTTTGGAAGCTGTCAAAACCCTATGCAATCAGTTTAAAGACTATTTCAATACACCACAAGGCTCAGTAGAATGGCAAGAGAATTGGGTACAAAGAGGTTTAACATAACCACTTTATATAAAATAATAGTTTACTTTTATACCATTTTGACTACCTTCTAGTACCATTCTAGTTTTTACCATTCTCGGTGTAGTGTTAGTTCTAGTTTTTTCACTAGCATTATCACTATCACTAGAACTAACACAAGACCTAGAGCTAGAATCATTCGGGTTTAGCCGTCTTGAGAGACGTGCTGCTAAATCTTCTAGTTCTTGGTCTAGTGCTAATTCTANATGGTAACACAACGTTTGTCGCAAGCATACCTAATATCATCTGTAATCTTAATAAGCGCTGTTGTCGTGCTATGACCCTTACGAAAACCCGATTGAAAGTCGTTGTGCAAGTTAAATTCTTGTAAATACTCTTGAACTTGTAGATAAACAAGGCGCTCGAGAGCTTTAGATAGAACAGATAAAATGGAGATAGGGCGAAAATCATTTAAACTTGAGGGACTCTTGGATTTAGGTATAGGGACAACATGAGCAACCTTCCAGATTGAAGGGAATGAGGATCGTTCAATGGAGAAGTTAAAAATGTGGGTAATAGGAGTAAGAACAATATCCAATATAGGAAGAAGAAGTTTGAGACCAACTCCATCAGCTCCCACACTCGTAGACCTCGAGTGATTCAAGGCATCGCGGACTTCTGACGCTGTGACCAGGACAAAGGAGAAAGAGGAGGATTTAGATGAGGCAAGAATTTCAGAAATAGTTGTCATCCTAGTCCCACCACTAATGAGCAGAGGAGGGTCAGCAAAAAACCTCGCCAATGAATCCACATCACAAGCAGCCCGAACAGAGGGAGACTCAACCGCCCCTAAGGAACGCATCAACCTCCAAAACGTCCTCGGATTAGCATTGGATAGTCTCCGGTAGAAATACATTTTTTTGGCATTTCTACATTGGTGATTGCAACGGTTACGCAAGATCCTATAGTTTTCACGATTAATAGTATTTGGAATACGTTTAAGTAATAGCTTTGCAAGAATCGAATCGGATCTTTCGATCTAAAATATTTTCAAGATGGCTACCACCGGAAGTAGACCATAACTTCGTTATTTTATATACAGTTTGTTAGGTAAACATACGGCAAAAATTCAAAGGGTTATTCCTTGGCCTATTCTAAAAATATTGCGTCCTATGATGATTTTTGCAAAACCCCTTTGTTTCGAAGATATAGGGCGGACAAAATTTGCGACAGTAACAACATTTTATTATCAAAAAGTACATATAAAGTTGCTCAATCTACAATAAATGTTCGAAATGACTTCCTCCAGCCTTAATACAAGCATTCTGAGTTACATCCAGCAATTATCCGATTTCGCAATCGTCAAAATTCTCCACTGGAGTAGTGTAAACTAATGACTTTAGAGATTCCCAGATTTATTTGCGACCATACATTTCTCTATCTTTTGTTTGTTAGTATGATTCGTTTTGGATTGTCCTTATTATCAAACATTATGTTGGTTAGCCCCACAGCTAGACTGTTTATAGCCTTTCTTTTCGAAGTAATTGCTGAACTTGAAGCCTTCTCTGGAGTTGGTAGGATGTGATGAATATCAGTAATTGATTTAAAGGGGCTTGATTCATTGAGCTTAATTCTTTGGCGTAAATCTGCCAAGGGAATATCATCTTCATCAATTGCTATAAACATAGCAGCCGATGCGATTATCGACTCCAAAAAAGTCGGCAGAAACGTTGTAATCTGTACTGATAGCAGACAGGCTATGCTGGCGGTTGGCAGGCATCATACTGCATCATCGTTGGTGAAGTCCTGTCGGCAANGATGAGGCAAGAATTTCAGAAATAGTTGTCATCCTAGTCCCACCACTAATGAGCAGAGGAGGGTCAGCAAAAAACCTCGCCAATGAATCCACATCACAAGCAGCCCGAACAGAGGGAGACTCGACCGCCCCTAAGGAACGCATCAACTTCCAAAACGTCGTGCAACGGTGACGCAAGATCCTATAGTTTTCACGATTAATAGTATTTGGAATACGTTTAAGTAATAGCTTTGCACGAATCGAATCGGATCTTTCGATCTAAAATATTTTCAAGATGGCTACCACCGGAAGTAGACCATAACTTCGTTATTTTATATACAGTTTGTTAGGTAAACATACGGCAAAAATTCAAAGGGTTATTCCTTGGCCTATTCTAAAAATATTGCGTCCTATGATGATTTTTGCAAAACCCCTTTGTTTCGAAGATATAGAGCGGACAAAATATGCGACAGTAACAACATTTTATTATCAAAAAGTACATATAAAGTTGCTAAATCTACAATAAATGTTCGAAATGACTTCCTCCAGCCTGAATACAAGCATTCTGAGTTACATCCAGCAATTATCCGATTTCGCAAATCGTCAAAATTCTCCACTGGAGTAGCGTAAATTAATGACTTCAGAGATTCCCAGATTTATTTGCAACCATACATTTCTCTACCTTTTGTTTGTTAGTATGATTCGTTTTGGATTGTCCTTATTATCAAATATTATGTTGGTTAGCCCCACAACTAGACTGTTTATAGCTTAATTCTTTGGCGTAAATCTGCCAAGGGAATATCATCTTCATCAATTGCTATAAACATAGCAGCCGATGCGATTATCGACTCTAAAAAAGTCGGCAGAAACGTTGTAATCTGTACTGATAGCAGACAGGCTATGCTGGCGGTTGGCAGGCATCATACTGCATCATCCTTGGTGATGTCCTGTCGGCAATCACTCGAAGAGGCAAACGTATACAACAACGTCGCGATAAAATGGCGAAAAGGACACATCGGAATTAAAGGACATGATCATGCGGACAGGTTGGCGAAACGGGCGGCTAACAAGTCACCGATCTCCCCTGAACCGTTTGCACCACTAGCTGTTAATACAGCATCAAAACTGATAAACTCCATCTCCCACCGAGCTTTTTGCGATAGATGGGATGGGACAGTAGTAGGTGCCTTTGCTAAGAAAACTCTGCTCTACCCTGACCGGAAGACATCTACTCAGTTTCTGGGAAAATCGAAAAGTGACTTGAGGCTTCTCACCCACTTCCTGACCGGACACTGCAGGTTACGTAAGCACATGTTTTACATGAAGCTGGCGAATACACCCCTCTGTAGAGGGTGTGAAATGGAAGACGAGACGGTAAGTCATATTGTTTGTGATTGTCCAAATCTCGTGTACTTAAGGGAATCTATTTTCGGAGTACCATGACTCCAAATTTCGGATATAAGGAACATACCTTTCTGTTCTATATTAACGTTCATGAAAAGATTGGGCTGGTTTTCTGACCCTTGAATGAACAGTAAATTGTGGGGACGTACAAAGGGTCCTCTGGGGCCTAAGTGCTGTGAGTAACTCACCCCCACGTGAAACTACATACATACATACATCATCTTCATCGCTATAGAAATTCGCTTCAGGAATGCTTCAATGTGTTGGATCGCTTTGTGCAGTCAATGGATTCTCTTTAATGTGTTCATCAGACGCTGCATGAGAAGGCCGATGCGTCGGAACGCTTGGCTTCTTCGGGAATTTTTGTGGGATCAAACGGATATATTCCCGTAGCTTCAAATCCCGTTTTAATATTCACCGGGGTGAGGGCTTTGTCTCACACTTTGCAAAAAAGTGTTCCGAATCTCTGTTCTTGATGCTACGTCCAGTATTTCAATACGTTCTCATCCCAGTAGTACTCAAACGCTCTGAAAACTGATTTGTCCATGTGCTGTAACTCATGGGTTGTATAGCTTGGGAGGCAGAAAAGTTCTATATCGAATTTGTCTGCAGCTTCTATGATGGAATGAACCAAGTGGCATTTAGCGCCATCAAATATCAGTAAGCACGGTCCAGAAAATTTATATTTTGGAAAATGGATCCAGCTGACAAAAGCGTTCACTGTCATACTGCCTTTGGCAGTCATTTGGCAACTGCATCTGCTGGTAAAGAATCTAGCTACTCTGGCTTCATTCTTTTCCCTTGAACAAGATCATTGGGGGGACTACGTAGCTAATGACACTTCCACACAAAACAATAGTGACACTTTCAGCGTGCTCAGGGGTCACTAGGTGTACTTATTCATGAGATCATTGTCTTCCATCATCTTCCTAAGTTTCTTGAAATAGTCTGAACCAACAGCTTTGTTGAGCTTCTGAACCCTAGCACGATTCAGATTTTGGGCTTTCCTTCTTCGAATATTCGTAAACCGTTTCAAAAAACCTCGCAGCCAATCTCTTCCCATCAAAAAGCCATTGATTCTCCCTGCAATATTATTTGCCTCACTTCTTGATGCACATACCAAGTACACGTGGAGTCAAAGGATATCCGACATCGCTTAGTCGTATGATACGAGACGATATCTCTCTTTGTTCTTGAACAGTAAGAAGTGGTTTCCTTCCCAGTTTGGATTTTGTGTCCTTGTTCTCTTTCAGATATCGTCGGAGTGTTCGCCTAGTAACATTAAAATGTTTGGAAGCTGTCAAAACCCTATGCAATCAGTTTAAAGACTATTTCAATACACCACAAGGCTCAGTAGAATGGCAAGAGAATTGGGTACAAAGAGGTTTAACATAACCACTTTATATAAAATAATAGTTTACTTTTATACCATTTTGACTACCTTCTAGTACCATTCTAGTTTTTACCATTCTCGGTGTAGTGTTAGTTCTAGTTTTTTCACTAGCATTATCACTATCACTAGAACTAACACAAGACCTAGAGCTAGAATCATTCGGGTTTAGCCGTCTTGAGAGACGTGCTGCTAAATCTTCTAGTTCTTGGTCTAGTGCTAATTCTAGTGGCAGTGGTAGGTAAGGCATAAGATGAAAGATAATACAACATATCTTTATCTGTATGAAACTGAAACTAGAACTAACACTAGACCTAGTCTTCAGACGAATGTTTCTAGTTCTACGTCTAGTGTTAGTTCTAGTTTTATACTAGAACTAGAACTAACACAAGAACTAGAATCATTCGGGTTTAGCCATACAGAGAGACGTGCGGCTAAACCCAAATGTTTCTAGGCTGCTGGCAACATTTCGAATTTTCCTAGTGTAATTTTTGCTTAAAACTAACCAATAATTCTTTGAGGTTCTTTTAGGTCTTTTAGCGCGCGCAATTCGCCGCCTCTTACGTCACAAAACACTCCCGTTCTTGCCCCTCACCCTCAAACTAAAATCAAAGTATTGCAGTATAGGAACCTAGACAACCTCATATATAACCTTGCTTTCAAAAATTTAAAATCAATAAAAGTTGAATGAGCGAGATGCCACGAGAATCTTATGCGCTAGAAGAAGAGATCCGAGAACGATGCACGTTTGTGTCTTCTTGATATTACGCGAAAACTTTGTAAACGTCACCAAAGCTTTTATAGAGAGGATTTTGAATTTTAATATTAATTATTGCAAAAATTAAACAATTTTAGGATTTGAAAATGTTACCAATCCATCTATTTTTACATTGTTTATCGATTTTTTCTATTCCATTGCGGGTAACCGTCCCATTTAATTAAATAATTAAAACATTTTTATAGATGATCGATTGCTCAGTGATTGGTTAAAAGACGTTGACGCTCGAGTCCAAGCCGGAATAAATCTGGGAAAAACAAACGGTCTCATAAGCTTGGGAGACTCAGTAGTTATTGTTACCGGTTGGAGACAAGGTTCCGGTTTTACAAACACCATGAGAGTTGTGTAAGTAAATAACAAATTTTATAAACGCCAATTGTATTTGATTTTTTTGTTTTTAGGTATGTGGAGTAAAATACTAAGAATAAAGTCATTCAAACCAAGGAAAATTCCAAAAAAATAGAAATAAATGCTGTAAAGTAATCAGAAAATAACATCGATATTAATTAATTACCACTTTTATATACTCAAAAAGATGTAACAATAATCTAATTAAAGCATTTTTGAACACAAACATTAATTTTTATTATCACAACAACATTCTTGATCATACGTAAAAGTTCCTAATAATTTTTGAGCTAACGAATCAATAACATCGTTACTAATCTCCAAAATAACCAACATTCCCTGTAATTGCCTACTTTGCATCGTTCCAATAGTCTTAAAACACTCCTTTTTTAAATTCTTCGATTTTTCTTCTTTTGAAGTTTCGGATAAATCTTTAAGCTCCACTTTTACATCTTTATCTTCTTTCCCTCTCCAATGCAATATTTTTTCTGTAATACGCGCCATCGTGCGGATTTTTTCATCGGGAACAACGATGGTGGTCGTGTAATCCGTGGCGGGAAGTCTTTGTTCAAAATACAAATCTTGCCGGAAAGGTTTTGGCCCAATTCCTAATTCGGCAATATCCCGCATAAATTCTAAGTCTATTTTTGAAGGTCTAGAGTTTCTTTCTCTCACATAGGTGTTTCTAAGATAAGCTGTGGTGACTTGTTCTTGCTTCTTTAAGCGCCACTCACTTAAATAAACTGCGTTATGATAACGGTAACAATCTGGGGCTGGAGTTATATAATTCGTATCTGATTGGCCACCACGTTCTCGACGTTTTTGATATCTTTGGTGTTTATTCATAAAATATAATCTACAAATTAAAAAACTTATTTAATGAATAATTTAATAATTTAGATTCTTTTTTGTGCCTTATATCTTATCTTTAATTTAACCTATATGTGTTTGTGTCTTGTATAAACAACCGTGAACATCTGGGGCGGTGCAGATTGATTCTAAATAAAAATGTACGAGAAAAGACTATCTTTAGCGAGATTGATACGTAAGATTAAATACTGCTAGTAAAAGACTAAAAACTGCTTGGAAAGAGGAAATACTATTTCAAAAAGTGACCTAAAATGGTAGATACTGCAGAAAAAGACCACAACTTACTTGGAAAAGACTAGATACTGTTTTCAAAATAACACCTATTGCTTCCAGAACGCCAAACACAGCTCTTAAGCGTTTTGTCTTACTTGGACAGGTGGAATACTGCTTCCAAGACTATTTATTGCTTTCAAAGACTTTAATAACTGTTTGGAAAAGAGATATGATTTCTAAAAAGCTACCTACTGCTTCCAGAATGTTAGATACTGCTGGAAAAGACTAGTAACTGCTTGGAAAGAAGAAATATGCTTCCCAAAAAGCTACCTAATGCTTCCAGAATGCTAAATACTGGTGGACAAGATTACAATTTGCTTGGAGAAGACTAGATAGTGCTAGCAAACAACTACAATCTGATTGGAAAGACGAGATACTGCTTCCATAAGACTAATTACTGCTTTCAGAGCGCTATATACTACTAGAAAAGATTACAACCTGCATGGAGAAGACTAAATGCTGCTGGGAGAAACTATTATCTGCTTGGAAAGATAAGATATTGTTTCCAAAAGACTATTAACTACTTTCAGAATGCTAAATATTGTTGGAAAGACTACTAATTGCTTGGAGAAAGGTAGATATTGTTTGCAAAGACAATTTAATGCTTTCAGAAAACTATACACTGCTGCCAAAACATTACTAAGTGCTTGGAGATTACAATACTACTGGCTGAAGACCAGTTACTGAAACTATTCTTCTGTTGGATGATATCTTTCTATGTCCCTTCCATTACAGATTTAAAAATTGCTGCTACAACACTCGATTCTTTGTCACCCAGATGAGACATATCTTTTTAGAGGGGGGTATGGCTCTCCTCTTTAAACGTTACATTCGGATCCACCTAATTTACTGATTTGTTTCAGAATTATGTGTAGAAATTCCACTTTGAGTTAGGTTAATTAACATTTGCAGTGCGAATTTCTCATGTCGGATTGGGCATGGAGCAGAGGGTGGGTTATAAATTTCGGGTTGGGTTAAACCCAATACTTTATAGTTGTAGGTCTAGTGTTAGTTCTAGTTTTATACTAGCACTATCACTAGAATTAACACAAGACCTAGAACTAGAATCATTCCGGTTTAGCCGTCTTAAGAGACTTGCGGCTAAACCCGAATGTTTCTAGTTCTTGGTCTAGTGTTAGTTCTAGTTTTATACTAGCACTATCACTAGAATTAACACAAGACCTAGAACTAGAATCATTCCGGTTTAGCCGTCTTAAGAGACTTGCGGCTAAACCCGAATGTTTCTAGTTCTAGGTCTAGTGTTAGTTCTAGTTTTACACTATCACTAGAACTAACACAAGACCTAGAACTAGAATCATTCGGGTTTAGCCGTCTTGAGAGACGTGGGGCTAAACCCGAATGTTTCTAGTTTTCGGTCTAGTGTTAGTTGTAGTTTTGTACTAGAACTAGCACAAGACTTAGAACTAAAATCATTCGGGTCTAGCCATCTTGAGAGATGTACTGCTAAACTCGAATGTTTGTAGATCTAGATCTAGTGTTAGTTCTAATTTTAAATGTATTTAGCGTTAGATAATAAAATCTACTACCTACATGTATAATATTATTGACTACAACAGATTTTTTTTCTCTCGGAAACAGATATTTTATCTTAATCCTATCTATGATGACCAACGCAGATTCGCGTGTTCTGAACTTTCCAGATTCAATTTTATGTAAACGCTTATAGCTGATTCTGATATGTTGTGGTGTTTGCCCAAAGATGTAATAATGCAAATGGAATAGGTTTGGAAATATTCACTATTCACTGAAAAGAAAGTCGATCCAATCATAAGCTAAATTTGTTTCAAAACGTAGCTTCAATAACACCAACCTCAACGTTGTCTAAACACTTAGAATTGATTCTGAAGCAATAAATGAAATGCTAACACATAAGCATTTGAACCTCAACGTTGTCTAAACACTTAGAATTGATTCTGAAGCAATAAATGAAATACTAACACATAAGCATTTGAAACCGGTTGAGTCTAAATAAAATCTATCCATCTACTAACTACACACAGTTTTATTACTTTGTAACTAAATATAAAGATGGAAAGAAGTAATTACAATAATAATTTCTGGAAACAGTTCCTGTCAACTTGCATAATTTTATGTGAACACTCAAAACTGAGTCTGATAAGTTTTAGTATTTGCCAAAAAGTGTAATAATGAAAATGGAATACGTTTGGAAAGTTTCAAAATGCAGCTTTGAATATCACAAGAATCTTTCAGAATCTATTGTAAGTATGACAATAGAATAAAGTCCAACCTCAACGTTGTCTAAATACTTAGAACTGATTCTGAACTTTCTGGAATCAGTTAACTAATGCATCTTTTTTAACCAAATTGCAGTATTTGTAGAAGTTTATGCAAATCTCTCAACATTTTCCTCAATGTTTTACGGAGATAATAAGCAATAACACTCTGGTCTAGCCAACGGGGTTCCTATTTTGCGATTGAAAATCTTGCCGAACTGCGCTACAATCTTTATACAGCAGCAGAAGAAATAAATGCAAAGAGATTTGCACAACTAGGAAAAATTTAGTTTTTTATTTAGTTTTAAGACAATGCAATAAAATTAATAATTCCTTTTGTTTAATTTTGTCTTTAGGTTAACCTTATTCGAAACAGTCCTTTTGCAAGACATAAGGGCAACCATCTTGTTGAAACCACATTTTGTAGTTNATTTTATGTAAACGCTTATAGCTGATTCTGATATGTTGTGGTGTTTGCCCAAAGATGTAATAATGCAAATGGAATAGGTTTGGAAATATTCACTGAAAAGAAATCCGATCCAACAATAAGCTAAATTTGTTTCAAAACACAGCTTTCAATAACACCAACCTCAACGTTGTCTAAACACTTAGAATTGATTTTGAAGCAATAAATGAAATGCTAACACATAAGCATTTGAAACCGGTTGAGTCTAAATAAAATCTATCCATCTACTAAACACACATAGTTTTATTACTTTGTAACTAAATATAAGATGGAAAGAAGTAATTACAATAATAATTTCTGGAAGCAGTTCCTGTCAACTTGCATAATTTTATGTGAACCCTCAAAACTGAGTCTGATAAGTTTTAGTATTTGCCAAAAAGTGTAATAATGCAAATGGAATAGGTTTGGAAAGTTTCAAAATGCAGCTTTGAATAACACAAGAATCTTTCAGAATCTATTGTAAATATGAAAATAGAATAAAGTTGTCTAAATACTTAGAACTGATTCTGAACTTTCTGGAATCAGTTATCTAATATGTGCTGCATCTTTTTCAACCAACTTGCAGAATTTGTAGAAGTTTATGCTAATCTGTCAACATTTTCCTCAATGTTTTACGAAGATAATAACCAATAACACTTTGGTTTAGCCAACGGGGTTCCTATTCTGCGATTGAAAATCTTGCCGAACTGCGCCACGATATTTATACAGCAGCAGAAGAAATAAGTGCAGAGATTTGCATAACTAAGAAAAATTTAGTTTTTTTATTTAGTTTTAAGACGATGCAATAAAATTAATAATTCCTTTTGTTTAATTTTGTCTTTAGGTTAACCTTATTCGAAACAGTCCTTTTGCAAGACATAAGGGCAACCATCTTGTTGAAACCACATTTTGTAGTTCGTAGATATTGAGTGGCACATCTTCTAATAAAGTTAAGAGAAAATAAAGAGTAAATACAAATAGCATACGAAAGTATGAATTTGTTAAATAACGTGTTTTTTGCAGAAAAACAGGCAATAATATTTTTTATGAAAAGACAAATGGCACGTGTTGTACCATTTTGGAAACTTGACTAAACAGGCCATCTTTTAAAATTACTTGCCAAGGGTGTGGTACTACTCCTTTTTTTATAAATCGTGTGTCAAACTTAATAGACATAAATTCTTTCAACCTTAACTCAATCAAACTAACATTTTTTTTACAAAACTAACGACATTAGTTGTTTGATTTGTGATTTCTATAGTATTAAGCATTTCCAACAGTAGTTAGTTTTTTGTCAGCAGTTTTTATTCTTCTTCGAGCAGTTTTTATTCTTCTTCCAGCAGTTTTTAGTCTTCTGTCAGCATTATTTAGTCTTTCTTAACAGTATTTAGTCTTTTGTCAACAGTATGTTGTCTTCTGTCAGCAGTATTTAGTGTTCATAAACAGTACTTAGTCTTCTGTCAGCAGAATTTAGTCTTTTCTAACAGTATTTACTTCTTTTCAATAATCTTTAATCTTTTTCAAAAGTATTTTGTTTTCTGCCATGATGTCCTACCCCCCTCTTTAACTTATTGGTTCCTGAATGCTAGATACTGTTGAGAAAAGACTAATTATTGCTATTAGAAGATTAAATACTGCTAGTAAAAGACTAAGAACTGCAGAAAAGACCACAAATTACTTGGAAAAGACTAGATACTGTTTTTAAAATAATACCTATTGCTTCCAGAACGCTAAACACTGCTGTTAAAGGTTCTGACCTACTTGGACAGGCGGAATACAGCTTCTAAGACTACTTACTGCTTTCAAAGACTTTAATAATTCTTTGGAAAAAAGATATGCTTTCCAAAAAGCTACTACTGCTTCCAGAATGTTAAATACTGCTAGAAAGACTAATAACCGCTTGGAAAGAAGAGATATGCTTCCCAAAAAGCTAGCTAATGGCGCCAGAATGCTAAATACTACTGGAAAAGACTAGTAACTACTTGGAAAGAAGAGATATACTCTCCAAAAAAGGTACCTACTGTTTCCAAAATGCTAGATACTGGTGGAAAAGATTACAATCTGCTTGGAGAAGACTAGATAGTGCTAACAAACAACTACAAATTGATTAGAAAGGCGAGATACTACTGCCATAAGACTACTTACTGCTTTCAGAGAGCTATATACTACTAGAAAAGAGTGCGACCTGCTTGCAAAAGACTAAATACTGCTGGGAGAAACTATTATCTGCTTGGAAAGACAAGATACTGTTTTCAAAAGACTATTAACTACTTTCAGAATGATAAATACTGTTGGAAAGACTACTAATTGCTTGGAAAAAGTTAGATATTGTTGGCAAAAACTTTTTAATGCTTTTAGAAGTCTATATACTGCTGCTAAAACACTACCAAGTACTTGGAGATTACAATAATACTGGCTGAAGACTATCTACTGAAACTATTCTGCTGTTGAGTGATATCTTCCTGTGTCCCTTTCATTACAGATTTAAAAATTGCTGCTACAACACTCGATTCTTTGTCACCCAGATGCGGCATATCATTTTAGAGGGTGGTAGGGCCCCCCTCCTTAAAGGTTACATTCGCATCCACCTAATTTACTGATTTATTTCAGAATTTTGTGTAGTAATTCCACTTGAGTTAGGTTAATTAACATTTAAACCAGTGCGAATTTCTCAAATGTCGCGTTGGGCTTGGAGCAGAGGGTGGGTTGTAAATTCCGGATTGGGTTAATCCCGATACTTTCTAGTTCTAGTGTTACACTTGCCTATCACTTGCACTAACACAAGACCTACAACTTGAATTATTCGGGTTTAGCCGTTGTGAGAGACGTGTGGCTAAACCCAAATGTTTCTAGTTCTCGGTCTAGTGTTAGTTCTAGTTAAACTTGACTAAACAGGCCATCTTTTAAAATTACTTGCCAAAGATGTTGTACTACTCCTTTGTTTAGAAATCGTGTGTCAAACTTAATAGACATAAATTCTTTGAACCATAACTCAATCAAACTAAATTTTTTTTTGCAAATCTAACGACTGTAGTCTTTTAAATTACTTAAACAGTATTTAGTCCTCTGTCATCAGTATTTAGTCTTTTCCAACAGTATTTAATCTTTTGCTAGCAATATTTAGTGTTCTGTCAGCAGTATTTAGTCTTTTGCCAACAGTATTTTGTCTTCTGTCAGCAATATTTAGTGTACTTAAACAGTATTTAGTCTTCTGCCAGCAGAATTTAGTCTTTTCTAACAATATTTAGTTTTTTTTTCAATAATATTTAATCTTTTCCAAAAGTATTTTGTCTTCTGCCATCAGTATTTAGTCTTCTGCCATCAGTATTTAGTCTTTTCCAACAGTATTTAATCTTCTGCCAGCAGAATTTAGTCTTTTCTAACAATATTTAGTTTTTTTTCAATAATATTTAATCTTTTCCAAAAGTATTTTGTCTTCTGCCATCAGTATTTAGTCTTTTCCAACAGTATTTAATCTGTTCCTATCAATGTTTAGTGTTTTGTCAGCAGTATTTAGNACCACATTTTGTAGTTCGTAGATATTGAGTGGCACATCTTCTAATAAAGTTAAGAGAAAATAAAGAGTAAATACAAATAGCATACGAAAGTATGAATTTTTTAAATAACGTGTTTTTTGCAGAAAAACAGGCATTAATATTTTTTAGGAAAAGACAAATGGCAAGTGTTGTACCATTTTGGAAACTTGACTAAACAGGCCATTTTTTAAAATTACTTGCCAATGGTGTTGTACTACTTTTTTTTTAGAAATCGTGTGTCAAACTTAATAGACATAAATTCTTTCAACTTTAACTCAATCAAACTAATATTTTTTTTTGCAAAACTAACGACTTTAGTTGTTTGATTTTTGACTTCTATAGTATTAAGCATTTCCAACAGTAGTTAGTTTTTTGTCAGCAGTTTTTATTCTTCTTCCAGCAGTTTTTAGTCTTCTGTCAGCATTATTTAGTCTTTTGTCAACAGTATGTTGTCTTCTGTCAGCAGTATTTAGTGTTCTTAAACAGTACTTAGTCTTCTGCTAGCAGAATTTAATCTTTTCTAACAGTATTTACTTCTTTTCAATAACTTATTGATTCCTGAATGCTAGATACTGTTGACAAAAGACTAATTATTGCTATCAGAAGATTAAATACTGCTAGTAAAAGACTAAGAAGTGCTTGGAAAGAGGAAATACTATTTCAACAAGTTACCTACTGCTTCAAAAATGCTAGATACTGCAGAAAAAGACCAGCAACTTGGAAAAGACTAGATACTGTTTTTAAAATAATACCTATTGCTTCCTGAACGCTAAACACTGCTATTAAAGGTTCTGACCTACTTGGACAGGCGGAATACAGCTTCCAAGGCTACTTATTGCTTTCAAAGACTTTAATAATTGTTTGGAAAAGAGATATGCTTTCTAAAAAGCTACCTACTGCTTCCAGAATGTTAAATACTGCTGGAAAAGACTAATAACTGCTTGGAAAGAAGAGATATGCTTACCAAAAAGCTACCTAATGCTGCCAGAATGCTAAATACTACTAGAAAAGACTAATAACTACTTGAAAAGAAGAGATATACTCTCCGAAAAAGGTACCTACTGTTTCCAAAATGCTAGATACTGGTGGAAAAGATTACGACTTGCTTGGAGAAGACTAAATACTGCTGGGAGAAACTATTATCTGCTTAGAAAAAATACAAGATAGTCTCTCCAAAAGACTATTAACTACTTTAAGAATGCTAAATATTGGTGGAAAGACTACTAATTGCTTGGAGAAAGTTACATATTGTTGTCAAAAACTATTTAATGCTTTTAAAAGACTATATACTGCTGCTAAAACACTACTAAGCACTTGGAGATTACAATACTACTGGCTGAAGACTATCTACTGAAACTATTCTTGTGTTGAGTGATATCTTTCTGTGTCCCTTCCATTACAGATTTAAAAATTGCTGCTACAACACTCGATTACTTGTCACCCAGATGCAACATATCTTTTGTAGTTGAACTAGAATGTTTCTATGCCATCTTTTAGAATTGCTTGCCAATGGTGTTGTACTACTCCTTTTCTTAGAAATCGTGTGTCAAACTTAATAGACATAAATTCTTTCAACCTTAACTCAAACAAACTAAATTTTTTTTTGCAAAACTAACGACTTTAGTTGTTTGATTTGTGACTTCTATAGTATTAAGCATTTCCAACAGTAGTTAGTTTTTTGTCAGCAGTTTTTATTCTTCTTTCAGCAGTTTTTAGTCTTCTGTCAGCATTATTTAGTCTTTTCTAACAGTATTTAGTCTTTTGTCAATAGTATTTTGTCTTCTGTCAGCAGTATTTAGTGTTTTTAAACAGTATTTAGTCTTCTACCAGCAGAATTTAGTCTTTTCTAACAGTATTTAGTTTTTTTTCAATAATATTTAATCTTTCCCAGAAGAATTTTGTCTTCTGCCATCAGTATTTAGTCTTCTGCCATCAGTATTTAGTCTTTTCCAACAGTATTTAATCATTTGCTAGCAATATTTAGTGTACTGTCGGCAGTATTTAGTCTATTTTAACAGTATTTAGTCTTCTGCCATCCGTATTTAGTCTTTTCCAATAGTATTTAATCTTTTGCTAGCAATATTTAGTGTTCTGTCAGCAGTATTTAGTCTATTTTAACAGTATTTAGTCTTTGCCAACAGTATTTAGTCTTCTGCCAGCAGAATTTAGTCTTTTCTAACAGTATTTAGTTTTTTTTCAATAATATTTAATCTTTTCCAAAAGTATTTTGTCATCTGCCATCAGTATTTAGTCTTTTCCTCTGTTACTAGCAATGTTTAGTGTTTTGTCAGCAGTATTTAGTCTTTTCTGACAGTATTTAGTCTTTTGCCAACAGTATTTAATATTTTCCAACGGTATTTAGTCCATTCCAACAGTGGAAAAGTAAATATGAAGAAAAATTGAGTCCAAGATAACCTCACTTTATGATATATCAAATAATTAAGGATTAAAGACTTACCTTAGCCTCCATTTAATTTTAAATGCTTGAAATTTATCCCTCAAATAATCATAGAACGTATAATTATTCCGCATTGCAGACCCTTCCTTTTTACAATAATTTAAATACCAAGCACATCCCATAAAAAATTGTGCTTTAATAAACCAAAAAGTCCCAACAATCAAAAAACTTTCAAAAATAACGATGCTTGCGGATTGTTCCCATATGGTTTGTCCCGCATCAGGTTTATTACACCGACTTAACATCAAAAAAAAATTAATGCAACATCTTGAAAAGCTTTGATAATCTTCCAGAGTGTTTCCATAAAACATGAAAGTCACTATCGCATAATATAACATGTAAACGGTGATGTAAACGCATAATGTAAGGAAAAGTGGGAACGCTTTTCGAATTGTTTTGGTAACGGTTGAAGTCCAAGAAATAATTTCCAAAAAATTAATAAGCATTAAGATCATTATGAAGATCATGATGCCCAAAATCACTTCGAGGTCTTTGTGGATTAAGACAACGTGGCTGTAAGATATAAATTTTTTTCTATCGGCGTGTTTTAGTTCATCCAACATCGAATTAATCGCAATGTTCCTTTGAATAAACAAAACGATGCTGCAAATGTTGAGAATGCAGAAAATTAGGAGTCCAACTTCACGCCAACTTTTAAATATTCCACAATATCTGTTTAAAATTGCTTGTATCAGAAATATTAATATCCTAAAGCTTATATAAATATAAACCAAGAAGAAAATGATGTTCAATTTGTTCCAATTTTCGCTCAAATTCAATAATTTCGCTGTAATTATCTAAATTAAATTTGAATTAAATTGGTTATGACTATGTAATATTAACTTACTCTTTGTGATGGGTACATGTATTTCGATTCTCTTTCCCAAGCTAATTTAACATCGGCAAATAAATTAGTATTTGCATTATACAACAGAAATTCGATTATAATAAATTTAGTTCGTTCATCAAGCCATTTATTATCGAATAATAACCTTACTCTATAAAGCGCGTTTGATCTAGTTTTACCAATATCTACGGTGTAACCATCTCCGTTATAAATCATTAAAGATCCGGTGTAAGAATTTGAAGATTTTTCCTCGTGAAACCACCACATACTATTGTTATGTTTCAAAGCGTTATTATATGATGCATTTAATATTGGGTAATTATCCAAAGCACTAATACATTTATCCATATCAAACATACTCGCTACCATTGCTTGTGGGCACCTAACATCCATCGCCCTTTGTTGTCTTATTCGTACATTTCCTATGTATTTGTTGTTTATATCGCTAATTAAGCCGGAATCTGCTACCATGTAAGGCCAATACCAACTTTTTGGGGTTATTGCTAATATTAGCGTTTTATTTAAGTATTCATAGAGCCTAAAAGTTTTGTTTTAATACATTTTTATTTAACCTTTCAATATACGCGTGCTAACTATCAGTCCATGCAATTTAAATTTGGCAATACTAGAGTAATATCTTTTGTAATCCGAATGTTTCTAGTTCTCGGGCTAGTGTTAGTTTTAGTGATAGTGCAATACTAGAACTAACACTAAACCGAGAACTAGAAACATTCGGATTTAGCCGCAAGTCTCTCAAGGCGGCTAAACCCGAATGATTCTAGATCTAGGTTTTGTGTTAATTTTATTTTTGTACTAGCACTATCACTAGAACTAATACTAGACCTAAAAGTAGAATCATTCGGATTTAGCCGCACATCTCTCAAGACGGTTAAACCCGAATGATTCTAGTTCTAGGTCTTGTGTTAGTTCTAGTGATAGTGTATGTAACATAGTAATTCTCATAGTTTTTAATTTTTCTCAACATTGATGCATCTGAGAGTAAAAGTGTTAGATAACAATGTGTAAAGGGTAAAATTTGCTACAACTCCTGTTCTAAAAGTTTTTCTGTAACATGCTCGGAATACCGTTTTTTTCCATTAACCACTTCTGAAACTACGAATTCTTCTAATTTTCAGATTTTCGAATATTTCTCTACATTGATACATCTGAGAGCAAAAGTGTTAGATAGCAATGTGTAAAGGGTAAAATTTGCTACAACTTTTGTTCTAAAAGTTTTTCTGTATCATGCTCGGAATACCGATTTTTTCTATTAACCACTTGTGAACCTACGAATTCTAATTTTTGCAGATTTTCGAATATTTCCTTACATTGATGCGTCCGAAAGCAAAAGTGTTAGATAACAATGTGTAAAGAATAAAATTTGCTACAACTTTTGTTCTAAAAGTTTTTCTATATCATGGTCGAAATACCGATTTTTTCCATTAACCACTTGTCAAACTACGAATTCTTCTAATTTTCAGATTTTCGAATATTTCTCTACATTGATGCATCTGAGCGCAAAAGTGTTAGATAGCAATGTGTAAAGGGTAAAATTTGCCACAACTTTTGTTCCAAAAGTTTTTCTGGATCATGCTTGGAATACCGACCCCTTTCCATTAACCACTTGTGAAATTACGAATTCTTCTAATTTTCAGATTTTTTAATATTTTTCTACATTGAGGCATCTAAGAGCAAAAGTGTTAGAGAGCAATGTGTAAAGGGTAAAATTTGCCACAACTTTTGTTCCAAAAGTTTTTCTGTATCATGGTTGGAATACCGACTCTTTTCCATTAACCACTTGAGAAATTACGAATTCTTCTAATTTTCTGATTTTCGAATATTTCTCTGCATTGATGCATCTGAGAGCAAAAATGTTAGATAATAATGTGTAAAGGGAAAAATTTGCTACAACTTTTGTTCTAAAAGTTCTTCTGTATCATGTTCGGAATACCGATTTTTTCCATTAACCACTGGTAAAACTACGAATTCTTCTAATTTTCAGATTTTCGAATATTTCTCTATATTGATACATCTAAGAGCAAAAGTATTAGATAACAATCTGTAAAGGGTAAAATTTGCTACAACTTTTGTTCCAAAAGTTTTTCCGTGTCATGCTTGAAATACCGATTTTTTCCATTAATCACTTTTGAAACTACGAATTCTTCTAATATTCAGATTTTCGAATATTTCTCTGCATTGAGGCATCTGAGAGCAAAAGTGTTAGATAATAATGTGTAAAGGGTAAAATTTGCTACAACTTTTGTTCTAAAAGTTCTTCTGTATCATGTTCGGAATACCGATTTTTTCCATTAACCACTGGTGAAACTACGAATTCTTCTAATTTTCAGATTTTCGAATATTTTTCTATATTGATACATCTGAGAGCAAAAGTGTTAGATAATAATGTGTAAAGGGTAAACTTTGCTACAACTTTTGTTCTAAAAGCTTTTCTGTATCATGCGCGAAATAGCGACTTTTTCTATTAACCACTTGTGAAACTACGTATTCTTCTAGTTTTTTCAGATTTTCGAATATTTCTCTACAATTGATACATCTGAGAGCAAAAGTGTTAGATAACAATGTGTAAAGGGTAAAATTTGCTACAAATATTGTTCTAGAAGTTTTTCTGTATCATGCTCGAAATACCGGTTTTTCCATTAACCACTTGTGAAACTACGTATTCTTCTGTTTTTTTCAGATTTTCGAATATTTCTCTGCATTGATGCATCTGAGAGCAAAAGTGTTAGATAATAATGTGTAAACGGTAAAATTTGCTACAACTTTTATTCTAAAAGTTTTTCTATATCATGCTCGAAATACCGATTTTTTTCCATTAATCACTTTTGAAACTACGTATTCTTCTAGTTTTTTCAGATTTTCGAATATTTTTTTACATTCTGCATCTGAGAGCAAAAATGTTAGATAACAATAGCTTTGTTCGTTGGGACTGTACTACTTGCACTAACCAGTTTAGTGAAGATGTTGTGTGTTCGTTGGGGATAGTGCAGTTTAGTGCAGTTGCACTCATACTGTTCGTTGGGCCATGCGCAGTGCAACTTAGTGCAGATTTTGTTGCACCTGCTTTCGATTAAGTTCAATAAGTGCAGTGTAATTCAGTGTAACGAAAATGGCGGAATATAAGCGTGTTTTGTAATAATTAATATTAATATTAAATATTAAGAAATAAAACCTTATAATAATTAATATTTGTTGTATTAGAGAACAGAGTACATTCAATCCCAGTAGAGGCAGCAGAAAATGGACAAGATAGTAGATAGATAAATGGAATTTTTTTAAGGTTATTATACATTATTAGGCAAAGGAAGAATTTCAAATCAGCCCGTCATTGTTACGGACAAATTCTTCGCGAAATCTGGAGAAGATAAAATTAAAGCTGTTGGTGGAGCTTGTATATTAACAGCTTAAGTTGTAATAAAGTTATTATAAAAAGAAAAGAATATTATTATAAAGTTGAAACCTCAACATATTATACACTTTTTTTGATAAAAATCTGTTCGTTGCAACCACGGTTTACACACTTTTCTGTCCTGCACTCAATTGACAAGACATTGCACTTACTTACACTTAATTGCACTATGACGTCATACTAGTGCCATGTCGTGCAGAGTAGTGCAGTCCCAACAAACAAAGCTAATGTGTAAAGGGTAAAATTTGCCACAACTTTTGTTCTAAAATTTTTTCTGTATCATGCTCGGAATATCGATTTTTTTCCATTAACTACTTGTGAAACTACGTATCCTTCTAGTTTTTTCAGATTTTCGAATATTTCTCTATATTGATACTTCTGAGAGCAAAAGTGTTAGATAACAATATGTAGAGGGTAAAATTTGCTACAACTTTTGTTCTAAAAGTTTTTCTGATTCATGCTCGGAATACCAATTTCTTCCATTAACCACATGTGAAACTACGAATTCTTCTAATTTTTTCAGATTTTCGAATATTTCTTTACCGTGATACATCTGAGAGCAAAAGTATTAAAGAGCAATGTGTAAAGGATAAAATTTGCTACAACTTTTGTTCTAAATGTTGTTCTGTATCATGCTCGGAATACCGTTTTGTTTTATTAACCACTTGCGAAACTCGTATTCTTCTAGTTTTTTCAGATTTTCGAATATTTCTCTACATTGATACATCTGAGAGCAAAAGTGTTAGATAACAATATGTAGAGGGTAAAATTTGCTACAACTTTTGTTCTAAAAGTNAGTATTCATAGAGCCTAAAAGTTTTGTTTTAATACATTTTTATTTAACCTTTCAATATACGCGTGCTAACTATCAGTCCATGCAATTTAAATTTGACAATACTAGAGTAATCTCTTTTGTAATCCGAATGTTTCTAGTTCTCGGGCTAGTGTTAGTTTTAGTGATAGTGCAATACTAGAACTAACACTAAACCGAGAACTAGAAACATTCGGATTTAGCCGCAAGTCTCTCAAGGCGGCTAAACCCGAATGATTCTAGATCTAGGTCTTGTGTTAGTTCTATTTTTGTACTAGCACTATAATTAGAACTAATACTAGACCTAAAAGTAGAATCATTCGGATTTAGCCGCACATCTCTCAAGACGGTTAAACCCGAATGATTCTAGTTCTAGGTCTTGTGTTAGTTCTAGTGATAGTGTATGTAACATAGTAATTCTCATAGTTTTTAATTTTTCTCAACATTGATGCATCTGAGAGTAAAAGTGTTAGATAACAATGTGTAAAGGGTAAAATTTGCTACAACTCCTGTTCTAAAAGTTTTTCTGTAACATGCTCGGAATACCGTTTTTTTCCATTAACCACTTCTGAAACTACGAATTCTTCTAATTTTCAGATTTTCGAATATTTCTCTACATTGATACATCTGAGAGCAAAAGTGTTAGATAGCAATGTGTAAAGGGTAAAATTTGCTACAACTTTTGTTCTAAAAGTTTTTCTGTATCATGCTCGGAATACCGATTTTTTCTATTAACCACTTGTGAACCTACGAATTCTAATTTTTGCAGATTTTCGAATATTTCCTTACATTGATGCGTCCGAAAGCAAAAGTGTTAGATAACAATGTGTAAAGAATAAAATTTGCTACAACTTTTGTTCTAAAAGTTTTTCTATATCATGGTCGAAATACCGATTTTTTCCATTAACCACTTGTCAAACTACGAATTCTTCTAATTTTCAGATTTTCGAATATTTCTCTACATTGATGCATCTGAGCGCAAAAGTGTTAGATAGCAATGTGTAAAGGGTAAAATTTGCCACAACTTTTGTTCCAAAAGTTTTTCTGGATCATGCTTGGAATACCGACCCCTTTCCATTAACCACTTGTGAAATTACGAATTCTTCTAATTTTCAGATTTTTTAATATTTTTCTACATTGAGGCATCTAAGAGCAAAAGTGTTAGATAACAATGTGTAAAGGGTAAAATTTGCTACAACTTTTGTTCCAAAAGTTTTTCTGTATCATGCTTGGAATATCGACTCTTTTCCATTAACCACTTGTGAAATTACCAATTCTTCTAATTTTCAGATTTTCGAATATTTCTCTACATTGATACATCTGACAGCAAAAGTGTTAGATAATAATGTGTAAAGGGTAAAATTTGCTACAACTTTTGTTCTAAAAGTTTTTCTGTTTCATGCTCGGAATACCAATTTCTTCCATTACCCATTTGTGAAACTACGACTTATTCAAATTTTTTCTGATTTTCGAATATATTTTTACATTGATGCATCTGAGAGCAAAAGTGTTAAATAACAATGCGTAAAGAGTAAAATTTGCTAACATTTTTGTTCTAAAAGTTGTTCTGTATCATGCTCGGAATACCGTTTTTTTTTCCATTAACCACTTATGAAACTACGAATTCTTCTAATTTTCAGATTTTCGAATATTTCTCTACATTGATGTATCTGAGAGCACAAGTGTTAGATAATAATGTGTAAAGGGTAAAATTTGCTACAACTTTTGTTCTAAAAGTTTTTCTGTATCATGCTCGGAATACCGATTTTTTCCATTAATCACTTGTGAAACTACGAATTCTTCTAATTTTCAGATTTTCGAATATTTCTCTATATTGATGTATCTAAGAGTAAAAATGTTAGATAATAATGTGTAAAGGGTAAAATTTGCTACAACTTTTGTTGTAAAAGTTTATCTGTATCATGCTCGAAATACCGTGTTTTTCCATTAACCACTTGTGAAAATACGAATTCTTCTAATTTTTTAGATTTTCAAATATTTCTCTACATTGATGCATCTGAGAGCAAAAGTGTTAGATAACAATGTGTAAAGGGTAAAATTTGCTACAACTGTTGTTCTAAAAGTTTTTCTGTATTATGCTTGGTTGACCTTTTCAAATATTTTGTCGGGGAATAGTTGTCATAAACAACTATTCTTTTGTTTTTTCTTTTCAATAATACCTTGTTTTTGGCTTTGTATTCCATTTGATTTTTTTTTATTCATTACAAATCTGCTATTTGTTTTCTCTCGTTAAAAAGGATCGATGAAAAACAATGTTACTTAATGGTTAGACTGACTCGATCCTTTTTGGCTCAGAATTTATTCTGTAATTCCTTTTAATTTTTATCATTTTTGCCAATGTTATAATATTTACTAAGAATTAATTTACTAAGATTACTAAGAATAACAACTTTTTAATTTACCTAACCTAAGAAAAATCGTTTAAAAATTCTAACCACACGTTGATATTATCTTATAAGGAATTCGTAATATACATTTTTGTTTTTGTTCTTTTGTAGAAGTCTTCTGAAGATGGCAATGTGCCGAAACCGGTAAAGACATTTTAATAAATAAATAATCATCGTAGTATAAGTGGTTTAATTTCCAAATACTATAATCCAAACTGATGATATGGATACTTCTACATTTAATATTATAATATTTAGTTTTATTTTTATTATTGTAGTTTTCTCTGAGTCAATAAATATGTTTGTCCACGACTACCTTATAATATATACCTTATGAATGAGTTTTCTAAAACAAAATGGTAGTCATTTTTCACGGAGTGAATAATAGCGGTGAATAATAATCATTATCCACGGGTGGATGAAACGTTAAAAGTTCAAAAAACGTCAATTTAATTCAATTTTTTAGGAGTTTCTAAATGTTTGACATTAAAAAAACCTAAACAAATTCCTTTTTTCGTATGATTTAAGCATAAATTAATTAATTTTCCTAAAGAAAACGACGTTTTATAAAACTGACATTTAATTTTGACAAATTGTTGTGAAGTTGGTTACAGTTAGTAACATTGAATTTGTGTCACATTGACGTTTAACCTTTATTCAAAAATGTATTTAAAAAATAAATTTATGGAATCAATTTCAATAGTCGTGGACAAAGTATAGTATTCTACTCGCATATAATGAGCTATTATTCACTAAGGTTAATTATGCCACTCGGTACGCTCGTGACATAAACTTAACCTTCGTGAATAATAGCCGTCATTATATGCTCATATAATAATATACTATTTTGCACGGTTTGCGAATAATTTGCAAAAATGTAAAAAATGACAAAATTTGTAGTTTTATTTTTTAACGATTCTTATATTATGTGACGTGGGAGTCATAGTAAAGGAAAATCACAGAAAAAAAAAGTGATTTATTCATTATTTAGAACAAAAATTAAGAAAAATGAAATGACTGTTAAATTTATGGCACCGTCGACCGAGACTACTACCCTTACTAGGAGCCGCTCGTTTATTGCCGGTTGGGTTATAAACCAATAGACCAGGTGTGTGGTGATCGGTATCTAAATGAATTTTGGACATTATCACCTTGGTGCCGTCGATTAAAATTTTAATATAATCTTTTTGTTGAAAAGAAATTTTTCCCTAATTTGTAGAAAGTGAAACAACAATATTAATAACAGAAAGTTCTTTTATTTTAAATAACATGTTCGAAATGATGTTCTTCTTGATTAATACAAATAAAAGTGTCAATAAAAGATGATAATTTAGAAATTCCTGGAAGCCGTATTTATCAAAATTAAGGAATGAGACTTATTCTAAATTAAAGCTCAAAGCTTTCTCTTTGCAATGATGTATAATAATTGTTGGGTTGGATTGGAAAAATATTGAGAAAAAAAATGTTGAAACAAAACTTACATTTTCGTATAACCTAAAAGTGTCAAAAAAGATGCTAATTTAAAAATTCCTGGAAGCCGTATTTATTGAAATTAAGGAATGAGACTTATTATAAATTAAAGCTCAAAGCTTTCTCTTTAAAATGATGTATAATAATTGTTGGGTTGGATAAGAAAAATATTGAGAAAAAAAATGTTGAAACAAAACTTACATTTTCGTATAACCTAAAAGTGTCAAAAAAGATGCTAATTTAAAAATTTCTGGCAGCCGTGTTTATTAAAATTACGGAATGAGACTTATTTTAAATTAAAGCTCAATGCTTTCTTTTTAAAATGAGTGTTTAAATCTACCGGTACTTTAAAGTACCGTCGGGTCACAAAGGGTTAAAATATCGTCAAAATACCTAATAGTAGGTCTTTTGACCACATAGAGCTGTTAATTTAGCATAATAGACAAAAAAATCCCTAGATTTCTTGGTTATCGTAAGGATTTCTTAACTATGAGATAAATGGAGGTGGTAGTACGGACGACCCTGTTATCTACGAGATAAATTGTATCTTATAGATAGCTTAACTAATAGATAGCATTGGTTTGGTAGTAACGGGCCTTTAGATACCTTAATATTAAGTTAAAAACCCATATTCGTTATAAAATAGGTTTAAAATTAAGCCTCAACCGGCTCAAAATTAAGCTCGACGGTCGCTTTATTACCCAACTGGCAATAAACGAGCGGGTCCTGGTAAGGGTAGTAGTCAGTAGTAGTCTCGATTCATGGTACTATAAATTTAATTGTCATTTCATTTTTCTTGTAAATAATGAATAAATCGCAATTTTTTTGGTGTGGATTTACTTTACTCCCACATCATATGACATAAGAATCGTTAAAAAATAAAAAATTTCGTCATTTTTAACATTTTTGCAAATTATTCACCTTATTATCACCACCCGGCCAAGTGGGGTGGCTTAATACACATCGAATTTGGTGTTTCTATCTTGAAATTTAGACGTCAAAAAAGCCGATACCATAACCGATGGGACACCCGGTATATTTCTTCTAATTTTCAGATTTTCGAATATTTCTCTACATTGATGCATCTGAGAGCAAAAGTGTTAGAGAGCGCTGTGTAAAGGGTAAAATTTGTTACAACTTTTGTACTAAAAGTTATGTGGTATTTATATGGACAGTATGATGGCTAAGCGCGTGTACTGAAAGGTTAATGATTTTATTTAATAATTTTTTACTCATCGTGTGTAGTAACATTGTAAATTCCTTTAGGTGTTTTAGGGGCAGATGTCCCATACACGAAGATATCTTCCAAATGTTTACTAAAATGCGCCGCTCTATCATCTCGATAAAAACTTATTAAAACAAGCAGGAATATAAGCATTATAAAAACGTAGTAAATATTTTTGTAAGTTCGTTTCATAGCTGATTTATCCTTAATTTCACGTTTTCTTTTCTAAATTAAAAAATTATTTTATTAATGATTAAATCACAATCACTTATTATTAGTACCACGAAAAGATCACCACCCAAAGGCTTATACATAGGTAAAATGTAAGGTCGAATTCCACTCCGATCTAAATGGCGATATAAAAATCTTCTTTGGTTTTCCACGTCAAATATGATTTCTCTAAATAGATATGTTGTGCCAACGGCGGGAACCCAAGCGTTTAATGAATAAAATGATAGATGGATTAATGAGTGTATCGCTAAGAATAAATTTTCGCAAACAAAAATGTTGATTAATAAAGATATTACGACGACCAAAATCCAATCGTGAGCCACCACCGAAGAAATAAATGGGCCATAAACCAAGCAATACACCAGACAGAGTGTGTTTATTATAAATAGAGATATATGAGTTATGGTGCTGTAGCAAGTTGGGAAATAACCGTATCTACCACGAAATCTTCCTGATTTATAACTTCCCCTAAAAGAAATAAAAAAATTTTATGTTAAACTTCTAAATTTTCTTACCGTAAGAAACAAGCTAAAACATAATTAACAGGAGCCACCACAATAGTAACAATAACAATCGTTTTTATAATAAACCAAACATCATTAAACCGACTAATTCCAATTCCATCCTGATATTCAAAAATCGGTGGGTGAATCATGTACAGAGCGAAAGCAAAAGTTCCTAAAACGTGCGTTAACATGATACTTAATCGTTGTGGATAAGACCAATATTGATCATGGGATCTAAAAAAAATGTGTTATTATTAATCATTTTTAATTTATTATTGTATTACGTATCTAAAATNTATGGACAGTATGATGGCTAAGCGCGTGTACTGAAAGGTTAATGATTTTATTTAATAATTTTTTACTCATCGTGTGTAGTAACATTGTAAATTCCTTTAGGTGTTTTAGGGGCAGATGTCCCATACACGAAGATATCTTCCAAATGTTTACTAAAATGCGCCGCTCTATCATCTCGATAAAAACTTATTAAAACAAGCAGGAATATAAGCATTATAAAAACGTAGTAAATATTTTTGTAAGTTCGTTTCATAGCTGATTTATCCTTAATTTCACGTTTTCTTTTCTAAATTAAAAAATTATTTTATTAATGATTAAATCACAATCACTTATTATTAGTACCACGAAAAGATCACCACCCAAAGGCTTATACATAGGTAAAATGTAAGGTCGAATTCCACTCCGATCTAAATGGCGATATAAAAATCTTCTTTGGTTTTCCACGTCAAATATGATTTCTCTAAATAGATATGTTGTGCCAACGGCGGGAACCCAAGCGTTTAATGAATAAAATGATAGATGGATTAATGAGTGTATCGCTAAGAATAAATTTTCGCAAACAAAAATGTTGATTAATAAAGATATTACGACGACCAAAATCCAATCGTGAGCCACCACCGAAGAAATAAATGGGCCATAAACCAAGCAATACACCAGACAGAGTGTGTTTATTATAAATAGAGATATATGAGTTATGGTGCTGTAGCAAGTTGGGAAATAACCGTATCTACCACGAAATCTTCCTGATTTATAACTTCCCCTAAAAGAAATAAAAAAATTTTATGTTAAACTTCTAAATTTTCTTACCGTAAGAAACAAGCTAAAACATAATTAACAGGAGCCACCACAATAGTAACAATAACAATCGTTTTTATAATAAACCAAACATCATTAAACCGACTAATTCCAATTCCATCCTGATATTCAAAAATCGGTGGGTGAATCATGTACAGAGCGAAAGCAAAAGTTCCTAAAACGTGCGTTAACATGATACTTAATCGTTGTGGATAAGACCAATATTGATCATGGGATCTAAAACAAAATGTGTTATTTTTAATCATTTTTAATTTATTATTGCATTACGTATCTAAAATATTCCAAGTGTGATTACCACCATGATGTGAATTAAAAAATAACCAAGGTGTTCTAATTGTAAGTTCAGATGGATGAGTTGGTTTGACGAAATAATGGCTGTAATGTCCGGAGGTGACGCTGAATCTTTTTTGGACGTTGAAGTGCCACGAAATGTAACTTTGAACGTCGTAGACCCGGATACTTTCGCAGTACCATTCCGGGCGAAATCCGGAACAATCGCTCCATAATTCCAAACGAACGATGTTTCCTAACGCTTCATCGGTTGCGATTAAAAAGTGATTAACACTGGCCGTTTGAAGTAATCGAGAAAACGGATCGGGATGGTTTAAGATGTGCCTCTAAAAAAATCACAAAAAAAAAATATTAATAAATAAAATCAAATTAATTAATTATTAATACCCTGCTATTACTAATAGATCCATAAAGTTGAATACCAATATGAGCTGTTGTTCCGGACGATTTAAAATCAGCTGTTGTTAGTCTAACTAAATAACCAAATCGGCTTTGTTTGGCGTTATCCCCCAAAAAGTAAATTAAATCCTAACAATTAATAAATTATTAATTTTTTTGTTTTTGGTATCATTATTATTATTATTACGGAAGGTCTACTTCGATATGGCCATAAAATCAACAAGAAACAATAAATAAAAATAGCAATTAATGTGAAAATTACAACGATGAAGTGGACAGATAATTCTAAATTTGTTGAAATATCAACTATTCCATAAATTTTATATGAAACGCTGAAAAAGCTTGGTGCTAACGGACCACCAACTTCGGGGCATTCGCATTCTAAACGAGATGTTGTACTTGATTCTAAAACCTATTTAAAGAAGTTATTAATAAATTAATCGTAATTAGTGGTATATATCCGGCAACTATCCGGTATAATTTTTTCGATTAAGCTTTAAAAATTCGTATAAAATGCAGTTCTTGGAATTTGAGTATGAAAATTTTCCAAAGTGTTAATAAAAGTGTCTTCTTTGCAATGAACTAACCCGTTTTGAAAAATAGCTCTTAGTTTTTGAGAAAACAATATTTGAAATAATCGACAATTTTTTCGAATTTTGCAATTTTCGCAGATTAAGTTTTCAAAATTCATATAAAATCGATTTCTTGGAATATGAGGATGAAAATTTCCCGAAGTGTCTTCTTTCCAATAAACAAACCCGTTTTGAAAAATAGCTCCAAGTTTTTGAGAAAACAATATTTGAAGTTTTGATAAAATTTTCGATGTTGCAATTTTCATCGATAAATTTCAAAATTCGCTATAAAATTCATTTCTTGAAGCATCCTTGTGTAAACATCACCAATTATTAATTAAAGTATCCTCTTTTTAATGCAATAAGCCGTTTTGAAAAATCGCTTTTAGTTTTTGAGAAATACATTTTTGAAATGATCAAATTGTCGATTTCGTATTTTGCAATTTTCGACGATTAAGTTTTAAAAATTCGTATAAGAAGCATTTCTTGGAATATGAGTATGAAAATTTCCCAAAGTGTTAATAAAAGTGCCCTCTTTCCGATGATCCAACCCGTTTTGAAAAATAACTTTTAGTTTTTGAGAAAACAATATTTGAAGTTTTGATAAAATTTTTGATGTTGCAATATTCATCGCCAACTTTCAAAATTCGTTGTAAAATTAATTTCTTGAAGGATCCTTGTGGAAATATCACCAATTATTAATTAAAGTATCCTCTTTTTAATGCAACAAGCCGTTTTATAAAATCGCTTTTAGTTTTTGAGAAATACGTTTATGAAATGATCGACAATTTTTTCGTATTTTGCAATTTTCGACAATTGAGTTTTAAAAATTCGTATAAAATCCATTTCTTGGAATATGAGTATGAAAATTTCCCAAAGTGTTAATAAAAGTGTCCTCTTTCCAATGATCCAATCCGTTTTGAAAAAGAACTTTTAATTTTTGAGAAAGCAATATTTGAAGTTTTGATAAAATTTTCGATGTTGCAATTTTCGTCGATAATTTTCAAAATTCGCTATAAAATTAATTTCTTGAAGGATCCTTGTGGAAATATCACCAATTATTAATTAAAGTATCCTCTTTTT